AAACCGAGTGCTACATTCCAGCAGAGCCATGAGGAAAACAAGGTTAGACAACAGAAGACCAGGTAGAAAAAGAATGCAGTAGTCTAGCTGAAAGATAATTAGACCAGATTATAGACCACAGATCAGAGTTTATGTTCATTAAGTGGCATGAAGAGCAGCCACATTTCTGTAACATTGTGAAAGGTCCAGCAAAACAACACACAAGATGTGACCGCTGTTCTTGTGGTGGGTAGCACACTACAAGAGTAGAACAGAGAAAGCCACCAAGCTCATAGCAACCAGCAGAAACAGGAAACAATATTATTGCTTATCTCATTTCTCAATATTTGGCCACTTCAATCAACCTCTAAACGGCTATATCCTCCACTTCTATAACTGTTTGAAGAGGAGCATGGCACTCATCTTTAGGGAAGCATTTAGTGATGCTGAACCCGAGGAAAACAGATTATGTTATTTGTGGCAGAGGCATCAAGAAACAGTTCCTGGCCTTGTCTGCATTCTGCATGGATTAAAAGACAAGCCCAATAGTTCGTAAAAAGATCTGCACACATGAGTGCCAAGCTTTTAAAGTGGTGCTTTAAATTAGAGATGGAAAAGTTCTCCCACCAAACTCTAGCCACAGGTAATGGTGAGGAATGCAGGGGGTTGCAATCCCGTACCATCAGGAAGACTGTACTGTACTTACCAGCTCCTGCTTTAAATTGTACTTAGTTGGTCAGTTACTCACCATCAAGTCATTCCAATTCATGGAAACTCTTTCCAGGGTTTTCTAGGTATAGAGTACTCAAAGGTGATGTGCCAGTCTCTTGGAAATGTCATCATAAAGAGACTACCACAATAAGCAGTAGGGTTGAGATTGCCACAAAGATTAGTAGGATCATTGTGACACTATAAATATATATATATATACAGTATTAACCAAGTCTGTATAGTCTTTGGCGGAAATAAACATCCACTATGTTAATTTTTTTTTAGACTGCACTATCCATGTCTACCTTCTACCACAGATAAAGGCATTTCAAGATGTTGACAAAAAGTACACTGTTTATTGAACAACTGAAAGGCCATTCCTCATTTGTATACGAGTGTTTGTAATAGAAGTTAATTTTGTATTTGAAAATTAGAAATCAATTGATCAATTATTAGGATCCCAAATTAGGAGTTGTGACGGACAGCTCTCAGAACACTCTTGTCAGTCAAGTCAGAGCTCTGGTGAGGGAGCCTATGACATGACAGGAGGGGCGAAACCAGAAGAATAAAAAGAGACAAAAAAGACAGTTAATGACAGTTTAGGCAGTTAGGGCTGTGGTTGTGTTAGAGAGAAGAGAAACAGAGAGATGGAGATTGAAAGAAATAGGAATAGGAGAAGTCTTGGAAAGTTTATGTAGTTTAGAATTTAATGAATTAAAACTGATATTAATAAAAGAAACTATTTAAATATAATAACATCGTGATTAAAGAAAACCTAACTAAGCAAGCATATCTCAAATCAAATGAACATATACTGAATGAATAAAATAGGACCATCTTTATTTTCCATGTATGATTGAACTGTTATCCTATAAATAAACCTCGTTAAAGTTGACAGCTGTGGCTCATTATTAAAATTTGGTAGACTGAGGAAAATCCTCTGGTGGCAGCATATAAAAGGGTGAAAACTGTAACACCCAAAGGCAAATCGAGGAGTTAAGAAAAACAGAGGAGCTGGAGGGTTGCAACCGGAGTATTTTCAAATCAAAATGTTAGAACCACAATAACATTTGGGAAATTCCCTCTGTGTGTGTCTTCTTCAGCCATGTCTTCTAAAGACTATTTCTTCTTCCAAAGCAGCTATTTGTAAATATGAAATGCCACATGGGCAGTTAGAGCATCATGACTCATATAAAGAAATTGCAACTGCAGTTCTTGAAACAGCTCTATTAATTTAAGACTCAAATAAGATTCTTTTTTCTTTCCAAGTAGCAGATTATTGAGTTCTCCAACCTCTTAAATTCAAAAATCCAGACGCAGACCTTGGAAATCTTCAAATAAACAGTTCAAAGGTCTACATGAGATACTAGGCCAAGATTACCACCTTTACTGTAGCATGCGTAGGAAGAATACAGTAGATGAGATCCAGTTAAGGATTAAAAAATGAACTAGATCCAAAGAGACCTCATCCTTTGTTAATTAACACACACATCCTTTCTCCTCACAGCTCATCCCAAAGGAAGTAAACCGTTTGCCTAGAAAGGGATTTTTTAAGTGTATTATTCAACCGCCAGTTTAAGATACCGGCACAACAGACACACCCAATGAACAAGGGACCCGCTGAACTCCTTTTATTTACACAGTCTTGGATTAACTGTATTCAACAAAAAGTATTGCGGGAATACTGTCGACCAACTATATAGGAGCTTCTAGTTTGCTTTCTGCAGAAACAGCGGAGAAAGAAAAACTTCATCCCGCACAGCTCCAAAGCTCAAATATAAAACGACCAAGTAAACATGGCTCCCTGTATATAGTCCGGCAGCGACGGCCCTTTCGTAGATAAAACAAATCGAAATGATTGTTCCGTTCCGTAAAAATAAAAAATGTCGCCCAGTTACTTGAAAGTATACCCCCACATTTGGCAGTGATCTACACACGCACCCCACGCAGATGCTTGGCTTATCTGTAGCAGCGCTTCATTTTAGACACGACAAACTGATACACAGCAAATTATACAACACGCTCTAAAGCCCCCGATCTTCGAGCAGAGAAGAAGCGAGGAGACTTATATTTTAGACAACGATTTGCTCTAAAGCCCCCGATCTTCGAGCAGAGAGGAAGAAGCGAGGAAACTTATATTTTAGACGATTTAATTAAAAAGATATTTTGCTCAACGAATGGCAGGAGACGGCTCCTTATAAACCAGCCCCACCCAACCCAGAGAAAGAAGAGCCTCCGAGCGTAATTTTTCTACGGTAGGGGAAATAGACTGCCAATGCCGTATTCAGAAAATCAAACGGCAAAACTGTGTTTAAACCATAATTTCCGCAGACAGCCTCAGGCGGAGGGGAAAAAAATACCTCTCTATTACCGCCCCCTCCCTTCCATGGCTGCACCCGCTAGTCCAGCCAGCCAGCAAGACATCACCACCACCCCGCTTACCCCACAATGGAGATCACCGTGGCAGCCACCACGAGATAGTTGGTCTGGTAATAGAGCAAATTGCTGACCACCCGGTTGTTCCATTTGGAAATATCTTTGAAATCCGGGACGGCAAAGCGATCGTGGCCCGGGATGAAATCGTCCCAGGATCTCAGCGGCGCCACTTGCACGTCCATAATGCCTCTTCCATCCGGAACCTTGCAGCCACGGGACGACGACGTCAGCAGGGGGACGGGTTCAAGCGTGACGCCGCGAAAGCCGGTGGGGGGGGCGGCGCGTCGCCTTTCTGGCTGCCTGCAAAAGCGGCCGAGCCGCACCTGTTTCCAGGGGGGCGGTTTTCTTCCGCTCCCCCTCCCCGCAAGACACCGCATTTTTGGGAGAGGACTCCCGACAAGAGAGTTGCGGCATTTGGGAAATAACGCGCAGACGTTTCCCTCCCCTGACGCTCCAGTTGCTTTTTAAAGGGTCAACAAATGCTTTGAACGGACCTGTGCAAGCTTGCTAGATACACAAGTAGAAATCCAGGGGCAGGCAATACCTTTATTAGGACTAATTACAATTCTACAGTAATGTGGCAAGCTTCAGGGTTCCCCAGAGCTCGTGGCCAGACTGGGAAAGTGATACAGCGATACTCTCATTTGTAACTACTGTATCTAATTTGAGGAATCCTGGAAAATTTATTTTTATTTTTTTTCACCCCACATTTCTCCTGACAGAAGACCCAAGGAGGCTTACATCATTAAAAGACAATACTTAGAGCTTAAAACAATAAGTATGCAAATATTTCAAAGGAACAAACAAATAACACTCAGAAATGAGAAACAAAAGCAACACGAAAAAAAACATTTAAAAATCTCAGGCTCTTCAGAGAGTCACTAAAGGAAAGCTTATGTGCAGAGAAAAGCCTCTCCTGGTTATCTTAACACCCAAGCAAGCTCCTAAAACCCCAAAAGGTTGCACATTGTTGTGAAACTGTTATTGCTATCAAGTTGCTTCCAACCTATGCTGACCCAATGAATCACTGACTGACAAAATAGCCTTCCTCAGGTATTACAAACCAAAGGCCATGGCTTCTTTTATTGAGGCAATCCATCATCTCATTTTGGGTTTTCTTCCACTTTTTACAGCATTGCCTTTCCAGTGATTCTGCTGTACTTTGGACATGTCATGAGAAGATTCAGCCTCAGTTTAGTTATATTTGCTTTTGAGAGATCAAACTTGACTTGATCTATCCCTAGTTTAGAACTCATTTGTCTTTCTGACAGTCCGTGGTATCCATAAAGCTGTTCTCCAACATCATTGCCAAATAAATCACTTTTTTAATTTCAGATTTCTTCAGTGTCGTCTTTCACGCCCAGACGTTGTAACTGGGAATACCATAATACAGCCTTGATATCCACCAATACATATTTACATTTACAATTGCTTTCTAGTTCACCCTTACAAGACTCAATCTTCCTCTGATTTCTTGGCTGCAATCTCCATTTCAACTGCTAGGCTAGGGTAATAAAAATCTTTTAACAATTTTTATTTCTTCACTATCTGCATTGAAGTAATTCAATTCTTGCAGTCATTATTTTTGATTTCCTAACATTTAACTGTAATCCTGGTTTTACGTTTTTGTCTTTAACCTTCATCACTGTTCATTTCATTTCATTGATATTTTCTTCCAGAAACATGGTATTTCCATATCTTCAGTTATTGATGTTTCTTCCTCTGATTCTGACTCCTTTATCAGCATTTAATACTTTTTGTGTGGTATGGCTTTCATATAAATTGAACAGGCAGGAAGATAAAATACATTGTATTCTCGAAGGCTTTCACAGCTGGGATCCAATGGGTGTTGTAGGTTTTTCGGGCTTTTTGGGCGTGTTCTTGAGGTTTTTCTTTCTAACGTTTCACCAGTCTTTGTGGCTGGCATCTTTAGAGGACAGGAGTCAGAACTCTTGTCTGTGCTCTTGTGCAGTTTGTTGGATAGTTGGGTATTTATAGCTGTCGGATCAGCTTTTTGTCCTTTTCAGGAGATTGATTATGGTGATCAGCGTGTTTTTTTGTTGTGGGTATATTGTTGTAATAAGGAGGAGATATGATATGTCACTGCGATTGATGGGTGTCATTAGCTGGTCTTTTGTGTGAAGTGATCACCAGTCCTTGAGGCTGGGTAGAGTTCGTTGACCTTTTGCAGGTTGAGTTTTTCAGTGCTGGTAGCCAGGTTTTGTTGAGTTTTAGACTTTCTTCTTTTTTCTTGAAGCTGTGCTGGCGTTTGTGGATTTCAATGGCTTCCCTGTGCAGCCTAAGATAATAATTGCAGGTGTTGTCCAGTACTTCAGTATTTTGAAATAGAATTTCATGTTTTGGGGCATGCTCAGCTACTGCCATTTTTTCCTGGTTGTTTTAGTCTGTAGTCTCTCTCATGTTCTTTGATTCTGGTGTGATGCTGTGTTTTGTGGTTCCAATATATACCTGGCCACAACTGCAAGGTATCTGGTATACTGCAGTGGTGAGGGGGGTCCCTTTTCTCCTTTGCTGACTGTAATGTTTGTTGTATTTTTGTGGTTGGCACGGTCTACCTGTGTTTTAATTATGCCTCTTTTTTATCATGGGTGGTGGTTGGAGTTTTTGTGCAGGTACTGGTATGTGTGGGTGGGGTTTTCTGTAGACTCAGTGCAAATCAGAACTGTGAAGCTCAATTTCTCAGCACCGAACTCAACCATCTGAATTGGGCCCTATAGGTAAATGGCTATTCTAAGAATGAAATCACAAGAGCCATCAAACCAAGAAAACAACACCAAACTGAAAAGGAAAAACAGCCACCCACAAATAAAGTATTTCTGCCATACATCAAAGGGGTCATGGACCGCATGGGGAAACTTTTGAAAAAACACAACCTACAAACAGTATTCAGGCCCACCACAAAAATACAACAAATGTTTTCCTGCTGCTATAGGCCGCCCATTCACTTGGTCTCTCCCTGTACTGAGCTGGGCCAGACCTGAGGTCTGGCCGTAACCAGTATCTCAAATAGGGTGAGAATGAAGAAGGGAAGGGCAGATTTCATGCCCATATAAGATGGAGAAGAAAATGGTTTCTTCTCAAAAATACTAGCACTCTACATGTTGTTGTTAGATGAGCTTCCCTGGGAGAACAAGATGCTGCCCACGTGCAAAGGAGCTCATGTAGAGATGCCAGAATTTTTCAAAAACAAGGGCAAGGGACTCTTTATTTCAGTCTGGGTATTATTAGTAAATGTTAAGGTATACATTTCAAATGCAAACAGAGGCAATATCTTTATGGATGACTTTAAAAAATCATACAATAAATGAGATCCCGTGGATTAAAACACCACTTCATCAGGTTTCTATCAGTATGAAAAATGTAAAAGTAGAAAACGTAAAGTCTAAAAATACATGGCAAATTGGATTTTGCCAGGAAAGTTGCTGTTAAATGTCAAATCCAGCAGTTCTTGGCAAGATTGACTTAACATCTAAGAACAACTTTCCTGGCAAAACCATCTTGCCACGTATGTTTAGACTAAGTTCCTCACACTAGTACTAATTTGGAGTGGTGGTTTAATCCATGAAAGCTCATTTATTGTATGATGATTTTTAGTGGTCTACAAAGGTATAACCTATTTTTGCATTTAGATTTTATTTTCTTTGGGCCACAGTGCTTGCTTTACTTCAAAGGTACAGTGGGGTCTTGACTTAAGAACGGCTTGAGTTAAGAACATTTTGACTTAAGAACCACTCTCATAGGAAAATATTGACTTGACTTACATACTTAGATTTGAGTTAAGAACTGAAAAAAACCCACGTGGGAGGCAGGGAAAGTGCAAAATGTGAACTTTCAGTTAACTGTTGGCCAGTGAAAAGGGTGCCTGTCTGCTTCCTCACTCCTCTCAGCGTTTAGAGAGTGGATTGGGAGGCTTCAGACTGCCTGGTACTGCCTGGACTGTATTTTCCCTGCCTTCCCTGACCCTTTCTTGACCTAAGAAAAATAAGAAACAAAATATCCCCCTCTAGTGGTCGAAGGCAGAATAGCAGCTTCCCATTAGTTTCTATGGTCAGAAAAGAGCAGATACGGATCAAATGGTTTTCATTGCATTCCTATGGGAAATGCAGATTTGACCTGAGAACTTTTTGACTTGAGAACCGCCTTCCAATACGGATTAAGTTCTCAAGTCAAGACCCCACTGTATAAATTGTATCTATATATGTATATATCAGTTCCAATTACATCCTGGGGAAGCCAATATTTCAAGAAAATGTGAAACAGATTAGCGCTATTTGTGGAGAAAGCATATTTATGGCAAGACGTGTGCCCACTTTGAAGGATGGGCATCTACAGTTCCGTATCAAGCGGGCATTGCCTGCATCCTAAACTGTGCATCTGTGTGCACCTCAGCTAAGTCCTAATTAGGCAATGCTGTATCTTCTTTTGGTCACTCTCTATGGGCCCCTGGTGAATCTTGCAGAGCCACAGAATTTCAACTGGCAATGTTGTCATAACGGATCCCACTGTCATCATCATAGGCATCCTTCAGTCTCGAGAGATTATAGTAACATGCTCTGTATTAAGAAGTGTCCTCTCCAGAGCATGAAGCCTGGGTAAATTAGTATGGAGGATAGGCTGTTACCCAAGCAGCAAATCCCCCCTCTCCCCATTGCTGAAATGGTCCAATGGAAAGGCAAGAGCCAATACTAGTTCCAGCAACGTCGCAGGAGTTGACAGAATGACACGAACTGCCTTCAGCACTCCAGCTCCGGATTTTGCCTCTAGGTTAACTCCTGAAGCCTTTTCCATGAGTAGATATAGCCACAAGGCAGTGGAGGTTTGAAACTGGAGTTTTCCTTCTCCTAGATGTCCTGCCTTCCAAGGCTGACAAGCCCCACCTACCCAGCCTGCTCTCTAATAATGCAGAAGTATGAGCCGACCCATGTGTATGCAATGCTAATTGGCTTTCCTATTCACCATATTGGAGTCAAAGATAAGAGTCAGAGAATTTGAGGTCCTGGCACACCCTCATTTAAGGAGGGAAAGCCCCACCTCCTAGGCCGTGCAGTGCGTGTGTGGGGGAAACAAATACCAGTAAAAACAAACTCCTCAGCAAAATGTCCATGCGGGCAAACCTGGTCTTCAGCCTCAGCTCAGCCTCCTAGGGAAAAGGGCCCAGGTCCTGGCACACCCTCATTTAAGGAGGGAAAGCTCCACCTCCTAGGCCATGCGGTGTGTGTGTGTGTGTGGGGGGAAACAAAAGAAATCCCAGCAAAAAACAAACTATGAGACTGCAAATGAAACACTTCTGGTTCCTAAAAGAAAGTGGGAAAGCTGCTTCTCAAAAATATCTTGGAATTACTATTTTACTTGCATTACATTGGGCAAATTTAGAAACTGATGGCTTAGGGAGACCTCCTCCGCATGTACACTTAATACCTTAATTAAGACAAACAAATTAAGTCCTAGATTAAATCAAGCCTAAGCTATCTCTGGAGGCAAAAAATGTTGAAACTGAGGCTGTCCTACTTTGGGCACATCATGAGAAGACAGGATTTTCTGAAAAAGACAATGTGAGATGAATTGACTCCCTAAAGGAAGCCACAGACTTGAGTTTAGGAGAGCTGAGACGGGCAGATTTGGACAGGACATTTTGGAGCTTGCTCATTCATGGAAAAGCTGGCTGGATAGCTCTGTAGATTAGTCACAGCTTTTCAAGTGGTTTAGATATCCAGCTGCAGAGCAGAGGTTGGGAGTCTGATTCCCCATTGTGCCTCCTGGGAAAAGAGCCAGCCTGCATAGCCTTGGGCATGTTACACAATCCCAGGATGCTCTGCCCCCCCAAGAGGGGAATCGAAATTACTTCTACTGTATAAATCCTAACTTACTTAATGGCATATGATTATTATTTAGCACATGACAACAAAGTACCTCAAGCCAACCTGCTGCAAAAATGTATAAACTATTTAATTCCTTGGATCATCTTCATCAGGGTAGGTGATAAAAACGCATGAGCAGTTCGAGGCAAAAGCAACCACTTGTACATTTCTGACACAGTTTAGTTGGTCCTAACTACTCTCCGTCCCTGGAAAAGACCCTGATGTTGGGAAAGTGTGAAGGCAAGAGGAGAAGGGGATGACAGAGGACGAGATGGCTGGACAGTGTCATCAAAGCTGCCAACATGAATTTGACCCAACTCCAGGAGGCAGTGGAAGACAGGAGGGCCTGGAGTGCTCTGGTCCATGGGGTCACAAAGAGTTGGACACGACTAGACAACTGAACGACGACAAACAACTGTCAGATCAACCCTATCTTTCTTGGTTTTCCCTTCGTTTTTCAGGTTTCTTGGAAGACGAAATCCTATGCCTGGAATCAGTCCCTCCGAGATGAATACGAAATCCTATGCCTGGAATCAGTCCCTCTGAGATGGACGGACTTAATAAAAGATACCATTTCCTCGAGTACTAGTTTGCAAGAGCAGAGCGAGATGGTTTAACGACGGGACCTTCGGGCAGCCATCATTTCATGGAGTCACCAAGAGTGAGAGGCGGGTTGCCAGCTCATACCAACAAAACGCCCCCCTCCCGTTGTGTTCAAGGAGGCAACTTAAAACACGAACGCGTCTCATCGGGCACGCGCTTTCGCCGCCTTCCGCCCACGCCGCTTCACCCAGGCGCACAGAATTGGATCTCAGGGCCTTTCCCTCTCGCGCGCAGTGACCCGCAGTAGAGCGACGTCCACCTGGGGACCGGAAGAAAGCGCTGTGCGCCTTTCCTCTATGAGGACCGAGAAGCTGGCGCCCATCTCCAATAGCGCCCACGGGTGGAGAAGGAAGGAAATAAAACTCTATGGTCTTAAGTACCCAGCCGGCGAGGGACTTCCTGCCGCCGTGCATTGTGGGAAGGCCGGTGGTCAGGGTTGGGGAGGGGGACAAGGAGCGGCTATGGCGGATGGCGAGGAGCCGTAAGTACCAGCTTAGCTGCTTGTCTCCCTTACCGACCCCCCTCCCCGCCGTCGCTGCCTGCAAGGGGCTTCCGGGGGGGAGTCTGTGTGTGGGGCGGGGGAGCTTCCGCCTCTGCCCCCCCCCATTCCGCCTCCCCCCGTCGTGGCGGGAGCGCGAGCTTGAGCCTGACCTGGCCGGTGACTGACCCTTCTTTTATTCTCTCTCTCGTTATAGGGAGAAGAAAAGAAGGAGGCTAGAGGAGCGGCGGCTAGCGGGAGAGAGGCAGAGAGAGCTGGGGTCAGTGCGGGGGTTGGGGAGCGGAGAGGGGGCTGCGAAGGGAGCCGGGCAGGGAAGGAGCAGCTCAGGAGAAGGGAGGCGAGGCAAGGCAAGGGCGTGGAGGCGCTTCTCCGGTCGTGGGGAGGAGGCCCCAGAGGTCAAGCAGGGAGGTGGGAGGTCGTGTTCCCGGACCTGGGGTCGTGGGCCTGTTTAGCCTCTGGTCGCCCACCAGCACCGGCGTGACTACTTCACTGCTTTAGATTTTCTGTGCCTCACAGATACCCAAAACACCTCTCTCCCGAGGGCTTCAGACCAAAGCCAAAACAGACCAAAAAACAAAAACAAAAAACCACCCAACAAAAGCAAAGTTTTAAAAAAAAACCACAACACCCCATATACAGCATCTTGAAAATGTTGTTAAAGATGATTACATTTCAATGTGAGCTTCTGTGGATCTACACAACTCTCGGTGCTTAATGGGCACCAAATTACTTCGGACTATGGGTGAAAAGCTCATGTAATGTTTGTGTGGATCCTAAATACCTAGTTAACAATTTTGGTAACTGTAACACTATAATTTATAGATAGTAAAGATGGCCCAGAAGCATTGCTCCTAAATAGTTTTGCATTTGCTGTGGAACTCTTTGCATTCAGCCCTGTTGACCTACATCTGCAGGCTGAGCCATGTATGGTAACTTGCTCTTATTACAGTACAGTAGTGGAAAAGGCGATCACGGCACATTTTGTGAGATGTGGAAGGCATATTGCTTAAAGAAAAGGTGTTTGATCAACATCTCCTATGCAAAGAACAGTACTACAAATTCGCTTAAGAGTGCTTCTGGCTGGTTTGGGTTTTTTAAACACATATTCAAACAGTGGTTATGCAGAACCCCTTGCCTTGTCTCTGGGTGGACTTACTAAGAGCTGTGTGAAATGGGACCAATGAGGCTGAATTACTTAGGTAATAAAGCTTTTCAGAAGTATATGTTTATGGGAAATTCATGGGAAAAATAGTAATGGAATTGTTTGTGCAGAAAGGAATTTTAAGAATTGAAAAGGACTGTGAACAGAATATGAGCAAAAAGTGATGTGATTAAATTATTTTAATATGTGAAAGTGCTCAATGGTACGATCTTACAAATATTTCCTTGACAATAAGGCCCATTGTGCACAGTAGTTTCATGTCAATCTATGTAGGATTGGGGGTGTGAGTCCATTCCTATTAATTAATTAATTAAGTAATTAATTAATTAATTAATTAATGTGATTTCTATCCCGCCCCTTTTAGACAAAGTCTACTCTGGGCGGGTTCCATTAAACATTGTATGCTAAAACAGTTAAAAACAACTCAAAACAATATATGAAATCTGGCTATTTAAAATATTATGTCTTGTTCCTTAAACTATTTTATGTTCGTTAAAGAAGTCAGAAATGACTGATTGGCTGTTCAGCTTTCTCTTTTAATGTACTGGTAACTTTTTGCTTACTATTTAAAAAAATATTGTCATACAATCCCAAATATTCATGCTGCAGTTATATCAGGACAACTCCTTTGTGTATCACTTCTTGTCTAAGGCTTTATGATTTATCATACATAGTGAATTATGTTAATAGAGAGTATTTTTTGTATTTGTGTCTACTAAGTTGTTATAGTAATGTTTATTAGCCAGTACAGTACCACATATATCATATGCTTGTTATTTCATGTACTTGCTGTAACAGAATCTTGTTCAACATAGTTTGTGTAATAAATTTTTGAACAATGCAGAAGGAAAAAAATTAAGCCTATAGAGCTACTGTTGTGTGTATGTGTGTGTGTTTGTTTTCCCTACTGGTCTTTTTGCAGCTGAATTTCTGTGTTCTGTGCAGAATGGCTGTTGATGGTGGGTGTGGGGACAATGGAGACTGGGAAGGTCGCTGGAACCATGTAAAGAAGTTCCTCGAGCGATCTGGACCTTTCACACACCCTGATTTCGAACCAGGCACTCAAGTGAGAAACGGTTACTGTATTTTTAAATGCTCATAGTATTGTGTTACAAACTGTTGTGAACATTTCTGTCTGCTTGTGTTGATTAACAAAAGAAGAGCAGGACTGAAAACCTAATAATTTTCTGCATGATAGGCAAGTAGTTTTGTTTCATTAAGTATGCATAAATAATAGAATGCTGAACATTTTAGAGAGTCTAAGAATACTGCAGTATTTCGTTTGTGCAAGAAGGAAATACTGTAATTAGCTATACCAAGGATTGACCTAGATAAAACTACCTGACTAGTTTTAAAACGTTGTTTTACTGTGTTTCCCTGAAAATAAGACAGGGTCTTATATTAATTTTTGCTCAAAAAAAAATTAGGGCTTATTTTCAGGGGATGTTTTATTTTTTCATGGATAATAATCTACATTTTTTCAAATACAGTCATGTCATCTTCTGGTTGCTGCACAAGGGTGGAGGGCAGGGTTTCACTTAATTAGGGCTTATTTTTGAGTAGGGCTCATATTAGGAGCATCCTGAAAAATCATACTATGGCTTTTTTTCAGGTTAGGTCTTATTTTTGGGGAAACAGGGTAATCGCCAATTTGCTTTAGATTTTTGCCATATTTACTGCCAATTACTAGTTTTAAGCTTTGTGCAAGTGTAATGCCATGCTTGCTGAAGAAGTGGTAAGCCACCATGAGACTTTTCACTGATCCTCTCCCCTCCATCATATACTAATTTTTGAAGGAGTAGCCATGTCAGTCTGTGAAACGTTTCAGACAAAAATAAAACAAAAGGAAAAAACACACCAAAAAAATCCAGAGAGACCAAAAACCTTGTGGCACTTTAAAGACTTTCTGAGAAAGGTCACATTAAAGTACAATCTTTAAAGTGCAACAACGTTTTGTCTCTTGGCTTTCTTTTGTCTGATACCCCCCATATACTAGTTGTCCCCACTTATATGCTCATGTTCTCATTAAATCTGCCACTTTATTAATTTAGACTGGCATTTATATGGGAAAGATTCTTAATTGTAGAAAGAACCCTGAATACGTCAACATTTGTATGCATGAGTATCTGAATAGAAGTCCCGTTTTTCTTAGTGGAGTATACTGTAGAATATATCTGAATGCACTTTCATATGTACAGTACATTGCAGGGATAAGCAAACTACTGTAGTTCAGATTTTTGTCTCTGATTCCAAGAATTCCTGGCCATTGGCCCTGCTGGACTGGGCTGGTTGGAGTTGTGCTGAAAAACTATGAGAAGGCGCCTAGTTGCCAAGTCCTGTATTCTATAAATGTGGCAGGTCCACAGTATATTTACACTGTCAGAAAATGACTGCATAAAATAGTAGACTGAGATGTTAAACTTGTAAGAATACATAAACAAACCAGCAATAGCCATGCTGGCCATAAAACAAATTCCAAAATCTGTACTAGAGTTAAAAATGTTTAGGCCTACCAAAAAGCAGAAAAAAATTGTAGTAGTTTTTGTCAGTATTGGTTATATGTATTTTTGTGTTGCTCTCATTGACCTCTATGTTCCTCTATGTATCAGATTTGGGTTTTAGTTTTTACTGTAATGTGTGTGAATATCTATTGGATGTCTAAACAAAGTCCATTTAACTACTTGGCAGTGCAGCTTTATGTGTGAAATGTAAATCAATCTCAGTATTCCTCTAATGTTAATTTTAATCTTCAGTGAATTCTCCTGATTTCAATAATATTAAAATACTTTAATTTTGTATAATAAGTTTTGTGAATGTCTTATTAGAAATACAGTACTTTGTTTTTTTTCACCTGTTTTCAACAACTATCTGTCTTGGTTCTTTACAGCCCCTTGACTTTCTGTTAAACACGTGTAAAGTTCTAGTTATTGGAGCAGGAGGATTAGGATGTGAACTCCTGAAAAATCTGGTAACGGTTTTATTTACATTTTTTTAAATCAATCAACACACTGAAAGTAAAACATGCAAAGTTGTACTGAGTAAAATACATATTGAACATAGTGAACACGCAGCTATTTTTGTGGTTTATGTACATAAACAAGAAAAATATTATTTTTTCATAATCATGTCAGAAGTAGCTTTGATATCCTTGAACTACTGATGTCTTTTGCAAAAGTGGCATTCAGTTTTGCTACCAATTTTTAAAATTAAAAATCTTGTGTCAACTTAAGAAAATTGTCAGCAGATAATTTTCTCAGAGGAAACAGGTAACAACAAAGGCATCTTTTATGAGTTCCTATACCAGCAAGGCAGCTGTTTGATTCCTAACTAATTCTTTCATATCCCCCATTAGTTTATAAATACCCAAATGCATTTTAGGTATGATTAAGATCAGATACAGAATATTCAACCATGTCCATAATCTTACACAAATTAAATGTAGAGAAGAATGGAACATGTGGATATTTTATAAATTAATATGCCTTGTCTTTTGAGACTGAAGGATGCCTATGATGATGATGATGATGATGAATATGCCTTGTAATTTGCTTATATCTTGGTTGTTCCCATGTCTAAAAGGGACAGAACCGGAAGGAATGCAATTGAGGAAAAATGACAGACAAGTCAAAGTCATTATAACTTTGTAGAAGCTATTTGGTATTTTGATGTGTATTAACAATAAAGGCATTGTGTTCTTTTGTGCAATAATGTATTTTCTGCTTCTAATTTAGGATTGAAGAGTAGGTATTTAGGAAGGAAAGGAATAGGCCTTATGGTTAATTTGCAACATTTGTTTGTGAATTTTAAAGGATGTTTTCTGTGGAATATTTTTCACTTTTATCTGAAAAGGAATATTTTCCTCAGCTTAGGTACAAACCTGTTTTGTATGGGTAAAAAATCCCCTTCCCTTGTGCCAGGCAGCTGAATTCCTCCTGTTTCCCACCAAGCTCCAGTCCTTATCCCAAACTATTCCAAGGGAGTTCCTGGCCCTAAAAGGGAATTTGTGAAGAGAAGAAATATAAAAGTCTGGTTGCACAGTAGAGTTCTGATTGCTTTTTACTGAATCCATTCCATTTTGCCCTTTCAAACAACAAGATTCATTGAAAAATAAACTGAATGTTTTCCCCCACATATATGAGAAAAATAAGAAAATGTGTTTTCTAGCAGTGTTGAGTTTTTTAAAAAATCTAACAGAATATTTAGTTCTGGTGTTGTGTGGGAGATTTTAAAAAGAAGCATAACTGTTTTCTCGGGGATTCTTGGCATTTTCCAAGACATTCTGTTATTTGTGTTTCATTCAATTCAGCTTCTTAATTCACTTAAGTAGGGCTAGGTATCAGCCCCTCGATTTGTATAGTTAATTTAACTTAGAACCACTTGTCCTTTGCCCGTCTTGGGAACATAATTGTTCCTTGTAGCCTTTCTACCTGTAAACTGTTCTTTTGCCTATATTGGGAAGGGCCATGCCTTTTCTTTCACCAGAGTTGTCAATTTACTTTATTATTGAGGATCCCAGTTGGCTCCCATTCAGTTTGAGGGTTTATAGTTTAGCTCTATTATGGCATATGTTCAATGTGAGACAAATTTAAGTATGTTTTTCATGTTACTGTTGTGCAGTAAGGAAAAGAATGAGTGATTTTTTTTAAAGCAAATGCATGCAAAAATATGATTGAAGTTTTTCTTGATCTGATTTTAAGCAATGAACACATGCACTATGTGCACAGGTAGCATGAAAGAAAAAAATAAGGTGTGGGTTGAAAAACTACTGTAATCTTCTTGATTGTAATTCTCTGAATTAAAATTGGAAGACAAAAATGGAAGACTGGCACATTGCTTAATATGTCAGTTGTACACAGCAGATGAAATCAGTTAATTTTGAAATCCCCAAATCTAGGGAGAAATTTTAATGGGGGGATTTTATTAACACGTTTTATTATACTTCATGTAAAGATGATGCTGGCCATTTTTAGCATATTTAACTATTATTTTTCCTTATTGCTAGGTATAAAATGAATTTAGACTATATCAAGTGTTAGCACACACACTGCAATTTTAAACAAAGTCAGTTCTGTTAAAATCTAAACTTTTAGCTAGGGATATTTGTTCTCTGATAAGTTACATCCTATAGCACCTTGCCTATCCAGAAATAGTGTTTTCCTGGAAGAAGAGCTGCATTTCTGTGCCAAAGAAATGTTGGTGAAATTGGTGTGACTCGTGGTCCTTTGTTGCATCAGCTTCCTTTCACAGCAAATGTGGAAACATCTTGTAAATAAAACAAAGAACAGGTTCACTGGTCTTTTGGGATTAGTGTATGAAATTTTAAAAAACCGGTATGGAACTGCATATAGGGCCCGTCGATTCAGAGAATGGCTGCTATCACCCGTGCAGCCAATCACAAAATACCACAGAAGAGGAATTAAAGAATCTGAGGAAAGAGTTTTAAGAACCTGAGCAAGTAGTCTAGCATGCTACAAAGCAAAATGTCTGATCTGCAACCACCTTCTTCATTCCTTGATAATACTCCTAAGTCCAAATGGCACCGAGTGCCAATATGAAGGAAGAAAGAAGAAAGTAACACTGTCTGGTAGCTGTAAAAAAGATGTTTCCATGGATGTTATGCCTATGAGTGCTGTGTAGGGAGGCCTTGGAAATGTTTAAAGTACTGGCATTTTTCAGAAACAACAAGTTTTGCAAAACTTTTAATAATGAAAATATGTTGTGTTTTAATAACTGTGGTTTCTTTATCTGTACAGGCATTGTCTGGTTTTAGACAGATCCATGTTATTGACATGGACACCATTGATGTCTCAAACTTGAACAGGCAATTTTTGTTTCGGTAAGTCATGCATTTGAACTTTCTAACAAACTCATAGTTCTCAAATTTAAGCAGTCCTCATTCACTTTAGTAAGACTTTCTGAGAACAAAGTTGTATTGTGCAAGAAACATGTGCCATGAGATTTCTAACGGTAAATCTGCAGTTCTCTCTGGCCACCTTCCTTTTTTACAGGTGTTTTTTCAGTTTGCCTGTTCTAGTGCTGTCCTCTCACTGGCATCCTTCTTCCTATCCCCTCAACTCACCACACCATTGCAGCATACATTAACTTGGATCTCAAAAGTATTTCATACTTGTTGGTGCTGTCACATGAGAGGAGGCTCTCTGGTGCTTCATATGTCACAGAATGTATGCCAAACAAAGTAGTGTCTCCAGTGGTGGTTGTATGGAAAACACTACTGTTTATATGGCATTTTTACAAATAAAGACTATGATTCGAAATGCTCCTTTCTGCATGCATGGGCGAGATTTGCTTCTACTGTATATACCAAGTTCTGAGTTCATTTTGGGTAGTAATAGCTACTGCAGCAGCAACAGTCACTTCTAAACTTCCCAAGGCAGTAGATGCTGATATATTTAGAAGCAATGAACTTAGAAACATTGTGAACTGCAAATGTCCAAGTATACAGCCCTTCGAAACATGCTTAAGAATCCAGGTTGGATCCTCAAGTTGTCACATTTTATCTAGACTTTTCTAAATCAGTGGGATTTGAGTTAGTTGCGGCTGATATTCCTCCCATGGATTTCAACGATATGTTCTAAGTATGACTTAATCTAGTTGCAATGCTATCATGCGCAGGAATTACAATCCTGTGTTTGTAAAGTCTTGATGTGGTGAAATATCCTATTGATCAAATGTCTTGGCTAGAGTTAGTAGGTAGCCTTTATGGCTTTATGAACGTAATACAAAATGTATAAGGCTGGTAGATCAAATTCCTAACAAGTGCTGTTTTGCAGACCTAAGGATATTGGACGACCCAAAGCAGAAGTTGCTGCTGAATTTCTAAATACCAGAATTCCCAACTGTGCTGTTGTTCCGTATCCTTTTGTGAAAACAAGGGAATTTTTCCTGTGTCCGCTCATTGATTTGCTTTATTCCCTGGGCTATTGTTGTCTGCTTGTGTTGCTACAGAGAAATTGAAGGATAGAAAGTTTTCAAGACTGGTGAGCAGTTCTTGTCATTCTTTTACTTCCAAGCACTGGAAAAAGGAATGTGGAGAAGGATTAATCCTTGCACCATGTGTAGCAGCTGTGACTTTTCTTAGCACCTGCATAGCAAATTTGCATAATCAGTATTTTCTGAAGGACTTGTATTAACATACTGCCTTTTAGCACTCATGTGTGAATTGGTCCTCAACTCATATTTCTCTAATCACATGGATAAAAGTTAAGTAACATAAGAATTCTGTTGGATCATAGAATCTAGCTTTTTCTCAGAGTGATTTACCAGGCTTATTTGGGGAATAATTAAACAGCTTTATCTCAGAAAGGCTGCTTTTATGATTTTATGATGTTTAAGCCATGCTCCAAAGGGAAACATGGTGAACAAATAAAGGAATTTATGGTCAAATAAAGGTATTGCTTCTTCCAGCATTAGTATTATTTCCAAGACCATGCGGCCTTTTCCTGATTTTTCCTGAAATAAAGGAATTGTTTCAGCAAATTGTCTGTTGAGGATCTGATTGATCTTTAAGTTTCCAAATTAACAGTCATTGTTTCTGACTAGATAATTGCCTTCAAGCATTCCTTTACTTAACTTGTTTTCAGACATTACAAAAAGATTCAGGATATGGATGACAGTTTCTATAAACGTAAGTAGCTTAATGTGCTATGGTAAAAATAATTGTTCGTGTTTTCTTAGGTTGGTTGAGAAGAATGTAACTATCCTTTCCCCTAAAGTGGGGCTAGGGAATGTCTGCTTCTCCAGATGATGTTATACTACTGCTCTCTTCAATTCCACCAGCGTGGCCAGTGGTGAGTAATAAGAAGAGATGCAGTCCGACAACATCTGGAGGCACTCAGGTTGTCCATCTTTGCTGTAAAGGAAAGTTAAAATATCATATAGAGGATTGTTAGCTTGTAAACTTCACCTCTTTTATAAACCTAATAAGCTAGGGCATTAACAAAATTGGCATAGTAAGTATTACTGGGCATATAACTATTAATATATTTTCTTCCAGAATTCCATATCATTGTATGTGGTTTGGACTCAATAATTGCAAGAAGATGGATAAATGGCATGCTGGTAAATACTTATGAAAATTAAAAGGGGTGGCCATCTGCTTATTTGAAAAATGGTTGCTGGAACACTATGGTAGAATTAACTAAAGTCTTGATGAAACCCACCTGAATGTTATTCAGAGCATACTTAGGTTGTACTGGGACAAAAAATGATTGGTAGGGACTGCATGCACCCTGTGTCTCAAATATCTGGTCACGCTGCTCATTGTCAACAGCTCTCTGTATGTGCGTAGGAGAAGGGTGGGAAATTGAGCTCTGAATCCTATTGGCTCCCTCCTTTGTAGTACACTGTGACAGAAGTGACACCGGGTGTACAGGCTTGCACCATGATACACTTTAAATCTGTAGTAAGCTATAGTGCAGACAAGCTCAGTGTATCTTAAGCTATACCTATTGCCAGTATTTTAAGGAAACAGTGTAATGATACCTATTGCCAGTATTTTAAGGAAACAATGTAATGGCAGCAATAGCATATAAAGTCTATATCATTCGCATTAAATGTCTAGTTAGCATGAATGCATTATGTGTAATAAGAATAAGAACAAAGGAGTTGTGTCATTGTAGAGACTGAAGATTAGAATTTAATTTCTCAGGCCCTTGTTTTAGTGCGTTAAACCATTCTTTGCCCAACAGATTTGCAAATTGCTAGGCTTCATATTGGGGTGGTGGTTGCATACTAGAAAGACAAGATGGAGCCCTTAGGTGCAATATAACAATTTAATACCTAGGCTGATTTTGAAAACTTATTTGGATGGATGGTTTTGTTTACTTTGTCCTGAGTTTAAACTCTTATGTACCCATGTGGCACTTTTTAGAGGTTCTCTACTCTTTTCTCATAATTATTTAGTGAACAAAATAAATTTGACAAAACAAAATGTAACTTTAAATTAAAGATCATGTGTATTTAGAGTATCTGCACTCCACTCCACATAGCTTTACATTAGATTTAGAATGGCAATCTAATATGTCACTTGAATACAGATCCTAATTGACTTGCTCCAAAGTTGATTTGAGATCCAGGTGGTGTGTGTTCACAATTATGTTCCATAGCCACAGGGGATTTGTTTGGTATTTCTATCTTCATATTTCAAGTGATAAACCAAAGGAGAATTCTTGAAACATAAAGCATAATTATTTGCAGCTGGAGCACTGCTTCAGAGAGAACTGCAAGGGCATTTAATCTCCTGCATCATGAACATGAATAAGTGGCACAGAAATCCTTTTGTGCTGATGGGCTTTTTTAAAGAGAAGACGCTTTAGTAGGGGCTGACCCAAAGTTCTGTGCAACAGAGGTGGCTTTGGCACTTAATGCTGCAGTAATTTCTGATAAATTAGATTCAGCAGGAGTTCTCGGTTTAGAAATTAAGGATAGGAGGTGAGAGGTGGAGAAAGATCCTAATACAATAACCTCTTATTTTCTCCTCAGATTTCACTTTTAAACTATGAAGATGGGGTGTTGGATCCAAGTTCCATTATACCTTTGATTGATGGTGGAACTGAAGGCTTTAAAGGAAATGCTCGTGTAATCATTCCTGGAATGACAGCCTGTATTGAATGCACACTTGAACTTTATCCACCACAGGTAGCTAAAAAGAACTAATCTGTCATAGGTGAGATTCTGGAAAAATTCCTGTTGAATCATTTTATGATCTTCTCACCAGGTAAATTTTCCTATGTGTACAATTGCTTCCATGCCTCGGCTACCAGAACATTGCATTGAATATGTCAGGATATTGCAGTGGCCCAAGGAGCAACCTTTTGGAGGTAATCCAATAAATTATACTTATTGTATACCTCGATCAAAATAGGCTGTGAAATAATATAAAAATTCTGTGCTACTTTATTTCTCTTGTATTGCATGATGTGGCTCTTAGATTTTCTGAATTATTGCTTTTGAAAATATTCGTCAATCTTCTCTTAATGAGACCCCAAGTGTTTCTGATTAAAGATAAATTAGATTAGGAAGAACTATTTCAAGTTTAGCCAATAAAAGTTATACATTTCTTTGTTTTGCAGAAGGTGTTCCTGTAGATGGAGATGATCCAGAGCACATACAGTGGATTTTTGGAAAGTCTTTAGAAAGGGCAGCCCAATTTAATATTAAAGGCTTAACTTATAGGCTCACACAAGGTAAGATTTAGCAACAGCTATCTTTCTCCAGCATGTGTGTCTAGAAAATTGTGGTAGCATCCAGAGGCTTACCCAGTACAACATTCTGTTCATATGGTATTGTGATTAAACCGCAGTATGGCAGTCAAATTCAATCCCAATGGGCTTAGGAAGCCTGCTCAAGATTGACTTAGCCTTCCAGCCTTCTGAGGTTGGTAAAATAAATATTCAACTTGCTGTGGGGTGTGGGCGCAAAGTGTTGTTTGAATAATTACATTGTAAACCACCCAGAGAGTGCTCTGGCACGTTGGGCCAGTATATAGGTCAAAACAGCAACACCATGGTGGCCAAGCAGTCCCTGTGGGATGTTTGTATTAGGTGGTGGTTGTTACTGCTACACAACTCTGTAGGTGTTGTTGGGACTGTTGTCAGTATTTATAGGCATTTAGTGTCTAAACATTGAGATGGAGAGATAGATATATATGTAGATGACTTGAAGACTGTGTGGTGTTCCCTTCTCTTAATGCAGGAGTTGTAAAGCGGATCATTCCAGCAGTGGCTTCTACAAATGCTGTAATTGCAGGTAGAGTAAAGCAGTAACTGCCTGCTTTGGTTGTATTTGACAGCTGTTTGAGGGACTTCAGCTAAAATCTTTGGCTGTATTCTGTTGCCTAAATGTGGAGCAGAGGGGTCGTCATATAAGCTTCCCATCCTCACATGCCCTTTCTCAGACTGGTTTTGAGATCAGTCACACAAAGGGAAGCCAGCTAAAATGGTTGTCGTGGGGCATTTATATATCTTTTTCTCTGCTCCACATTTGGGCAACAGATGTTAACATTTCTGTTTTTCTGTGAATAATGGAGCTGAATATACCTGTATGCAATACATGTCTACCTACAAACATAAGAAGACCCTTGATGATCAGACCAAAAATCTGTCTACTACAACATTCTGTTCTCATAGAAGCCAATCAGTTGCTTATGGGGAATGTGCAAAGAGTGTTGTAAATGACTACTGGGATGTGGTGGCAAACATAAATATCTAGCTCATTCAATGGAAATTATGCTGATGTAAGCATGTGTAGAGTGATAGCTGTAAGTTGAAACTTATAGCAAATTTGCATTAAAGTAAATCACTTTGGAATTAGTGAAATAAGCTTCTGTGCAAACGTGTTCAAAAGTACGCTGCTAAAAGAGTCTGGGAACAGTTTAATATAATGATATTTTTGAAATCTTAAACCTTTAGAATATAGGTCAGGGAACAGGGGTAAATTACCCAAAATTGGGTAAAAGTGAAAATTCTGGGGGCAATGAGCAGACTGCTCATTAGTTTTTTTGATGTTGAGCTTCAGACCATTTTTTGCACTCTTCTCTTTTGAGCATAACCTTGCTAGCGTGTGAAATGAGTGCAATTGTATGGTAGTTGGAGCATTCTTTGGCACTTCCCTTCTTTGGGATTGGGATGTAGACTGATCTTTTCCAAACCTCTGGCCACTGCTGAGTTTTCCATTGATGATGATAAAAAAGCACACTGGTCCTTTGATATTGGGCTGTGGCACCAGGGTGGGTGACATGACCTTTAGCCGGGTTTGTTTGATTTTGCACACCACACATAGAATTATTAAAGTGGTAGGGAAAGCCCCCCCCCCCATTCTGCGTTGGCTGTCTCTAGCAAGCATGTCATTGCTAGCACCACTCTGGTGATGATTAAATCCTCTGCGAGCTAGGAAAAAATTGACCACTCTGGTGATGATTAAATCCTCTGCGGGCTAGGAAAAAAATTTTGCAACTTGCTAGGAACGTTGGACACCTTACTACTCCCTATACCGCACCATGGATGGAGTGCAATGTGTTCCAGCAAAAATAGTGCACATCTTTATCAAATTTGGTGCATCCTGCTAGTTCGGTACACAGCCTGTGTAGTTCAGTAATATTTTTAATTCAAATAATGTATGATTTCCTTCCTTTCAAATCAAGGATGTAATGTCGGCGTATATAAATTTTTTGGGGGGGTAAAAGGTAAAAAAGTTCCCTGACCCCTGCTTTAGAAAGGTATATTTCAAATGGATTTACAGGTATGTTAGGTTCTAGCAATGCAGGGTTCAAATTTGGTTTGTATCTGATTTACTTTCCAAAGACAGAATACGCATTGTATCCGTTAGACTATTCTTCCTAATTAAAAGTGACATATAATTTTCTTTTGTATAAGAATGTGATTCCTAGTTTTCAAAAGTATTTAAATAAGAAGTTATTAGTCCTTCTCCCTGTTTTGGGAAACATGATGTTTGATATGCAACTTCTCCATATTGTTAAAATAGTTTTGGTTATCTGTTTCTTTCTAGCTATATGTGCAACTGAAGTCTTCAAAATAGCTACAAGGTACCCCCTTTCAGATTAAGTATTTTTAAACAACTATTATTGTTTTAAAATAGTAACAGACTTTTCATTACAGTGCATACATGCCTCTGAACAACTATTTGGTTTTTAATGATGTCGATGGACTCTACACGTACACGTTTGAAGCAGAAAAGAAGGTTAGTGTTTGTGTTAAAAAATTGTCCTTTATAGCAGTTTTTCCTTGAACATATTGTCCAATATTTTGCAGTATATAGAGAGCAGTAAATGAATTAATGTGTGTGTTTTTTTAGCCTTGATAATTCAGCAGTGACAAAATCATATAGTGCACATGGTGTGAACTCTGCTGTTAAGGTTACTATAGTGAATTTTTTTTTCCTGGGGTCATAATTATTGTGAATTCCTGTATTTTTAACTTTACAAATCCCCCCCTCCCCCCCCAAAAAAACATACTTAGCTTTGATACTTTTTTGGGGAAAAAAGTACTATGGAGAATTCTTGTTCCTTGATAAAAAATTTTTTTTTAAAAAAAAAACCATAATCCATAGGAAAAATAGTTATTAGGAATGGGGGAAAACCTCTGGGATTGATTCATTTTGGATTTGTTGTGTCATTCATTTTTGGATCGTTTGGGTACTGGTGGTCTTCTTAAACCTCCATTCAGGCAGCCAGTCACTCAAGGAAAGATTGCCTGAAGTGAAAGTTCTTCAGCTGCCTGTGGAAGGACAGCAAGGATAAGGCCAGCCTAGCTTCATATGAGAGTGAGTTTCAGAGTCTGGGCGTAGCAACAGAGAAGGCCCTCTGCCGTGTACCCACCAAATGCATCCGTGAAGGTGGCAGGACCAAGAGAGGCCTCTCTAAAATGATTTTAACACTTGAGCAGTCTCATAAAGGGAGATGCAGTCCTTGAGATAGCTTAGACACAAGCTGTTTGGGGCTTTATAAGTTGGAATCAACACCCTGAATTCAGACTTTTTACTGACCAGGAACACCTCTGTGTTGTCTGGATTAAGTTTCAGTTTATTCATGTTATTTATTAATATGACTTAAATAGCCGTGGCTTATTTAAGTTCTTCACCTTATAGTTGGTTTCATATACTATTTCATAGGAAAATTGTCTGGCTTGCAGCCAGCTTCCTCAGAAGATAGAGTTTTCTCCATCTGCTAAATTGCAGGAAGTCCTGGATTATTTGGTAAACAGTGCTTCATTGTAAGTATGGACTGTATCTGATATACTGACTTGTTTTGAGCAATAAAACTCAGATCCCGAAAGCATAATTTTGTCAGATAGTAAAGCCAGACATTTGGTTAACTAGCTTACTGATTTTTTAAATTTTTTTTCCACAGGCAAATGAAATCTCCTGCAATAACAGCCACAGTGTATGGGAGAAATAAAACTCTTTATTTACAGGTGATTAATGCATAAACGCTATGCGAAAATCGCCCATAGGGAAAAACGTTATACGAAGCACAATCTGCCTCTGAAAAAATAAACGTTAAGCGAAAAAAACGTTAAAAGAAGCAAACGTTAAGCGAGGCACCACTGTATATATAAGTAAAGATATATATATTTAAGTAAAAATAATGCAAAGTGTATATGTGTTTCTCTTTCCCACCCCAGTCGGTAGCTTCAATTGAAGAACGAACAAGGCCGAACCTTTCAAAGACACTAAAAGGTAATACGAATGTTTCAAAAAGAATATTGTGGACTTTTGAAAGGTACCTTTCATCAGTACCTCTTCCAGGTTGCTTCATTTTTACAGGGAAATGGTTTATCTGCTCTGGTATTGTGTGATGAGAGACTAGCTTGAATCCTGTTCAAAAAAAATATGCGTACAGGGGCAATTACACAGCATTTTCTCTCCTTTGGTGGGCCATCCTTGGTGTGATCACTCACATTCTCAGTTCTGCAATGAGTGCACAATCAGTTTCATGAGGAGAGTAGGGGAGAGAGAGGAAATGCTTGCATATTTGTCCTGCAGTCACACAGGTGAATAGGATCTTTGGAGATACACAGTGTTCCTTCTTATTCATTCAGTTAATTATCCTTAAAGATGTGGGTGGGAAAGAGACAACAGAAGTCAGCTATCATACTGTTATCTGTAGGCATGATGAGAGAGAAATTGATGGAACAGGATTTGAATAGTTGTACTTCTGGTCTTCATCTAAACATAACTATCAGCTCTGTGGCATAGTATGCATCTTAGAAGATAGTGTGATTTCTCTTGAATTGTCTTGTCTACAGTTGCAAGAGTTATTACTTTGGCTTTGGCATGCTCAAGTCAATTATGTCCTTTCCATTTTTCAGTAGTAGAGAAGTTATGTATTAATTGACTCACAGTTATTAATGGACCATACACACCTTCCCTCTGGCAGAAATTCTGATTTTACATGATCAGAACCTGAAACCTTGTGGCAGTAAAAAAAAAAAAAAAATACAGCGGTGCCTCAACTTACGAACTTAATTGGTTCCGGAACTCTGGTCGTTACTCGAAATGGTCTTAAGTCGAAGCACCATTTCCCATAGGAATGCAATTAATCCATTCTGGCCGAAGAAAAAAATCACCAAAAAAACCTCCACAACAACACTGCAAGGCCCATCGGAAATGCGATTAATCCATTCCGGCTGAAGGGAGAAAAGAAAGAAAGGCAAACAAAACGTCCAAGACCCATCGGAAATGCCAAAAAAGCAAAGCAAAAAGCAAACAAACCCTGCAAGACCCATCGGAAGTGGGGGGAAAAACTCAAAAAGCAAACCAACCCCGCAAGACCCATCACAGCATAGAAACATAATCCCACCACCCAGCCCAAAACCACACTGCAAATCCACCCAGAACAGTTTTTTAAAAGCAGAAAGCAGCATCTTACTTTACCAGGCAGTTCGAAGCCTCCTCCGATTGCACTCACTCTAACCGTTGGGGCCAAAGAGCTACAAAGAATCAGCCTCTTCACCGACCAACAGTCAAATTCAAATTCAAATTCCCCGCCTTTTCCCCCTCCTTTTCCTGTTCGTAACTGGAAGCTCCAGCCGCAAGTCGAAGCAAAATTTTGCGGCCAGAGCTGGTTGTAACTCGAAAAGCTCGTATGTTGGGATGTTCGTAAGTTGAGACACCACTATGATGATGATGATGATAATAGTAGTAGTAGTAGTAGTAGTAGTTGTTGTTGTTGTTGTTGTTGTGGACTTCTGTATATATGGTGCTTTACCTAGAAGAGGTGTAACTAAATCTTACCACAAGAAGTATACAACCCATCCATATATTGCTAGTGATCCTGAGGATCAGTCACATGTATTGGCAAACATGTACCTTGCATTCAGTTGGTATGCACCCACCTTCCTTGCTCATAAGGAAGTGTGTATTTGGCCTGAGTTGGATTAATGTATGTTTACAGCAAAGCAAAGCTGTACTGAAATATCAGTCCTAAGCATCTGTGCAGGTTCCTATGCCAGTGGTACCATAATATTTTCCTCAGAATACTAGCATAAAATATATATTGGGACATCTCAGCTTTTTGTAGTTACATGTTAGCATTGTAAATTTCCAGTTGGTATAGGTTTCTGCTTGAACTTTCATCATAATAGCTAGAATTAGTTCATTATCTACTGTTTAATCATGAGTGAATTTTGCTACTCCATCAGAATATAGGGCAAAGATTTGGGGATCTGCAGTTTCTGAAAGTGTTACTCTTCTGGCTCACTCCTTTTTTTTACCAACTTTCATAAACATATGAAACAAACAAAAATCTTCAAAGAATCACAGGGAAATGAAACAGAATAAAAAACATTCTTGGATGTGCAGAATTATTCATTGGCTGAAATCCTGTTGCTTAGCATAGTAAGTCACAACTAGATTAGGCACATTGAATTTTTGTAAGTCCAATAAATTCAGTGGACCTACTCTAGTTGCAAATTACTATGCTGATCAGCAAGATTTGAATTGTTCTATTACATGGATGCTGATTTAAACCTTTTTCAATTTTTAGACCCAGTGGGGGCACCTTAACACTCACTGAAAGTGACATATTACTGTACAGGCAAAATTACTACTACTACTACTCTTCCACAAAATTACTATGAAACATACTGTTTCAAATTGGCCAAAATGCTCTTGTATGGGTATTCTCATGCAAGGAAAGTGGCTTAATTTACAGCAGCAAATGGCTGCTAATTAACCAGTCTCTGCATGGATTCCTGGTTGTGCGCCAGTTACACCATTTCTCTTCCACCGGTGCAGCTATGCAAGAGGATTTGGACAATTGGATTGTTAAGTAAAATTTATCTTGCACTGATGGTCAGTTGCTTATTTTTTCTAAGTTACAGACAGTGATTTTAAAGTCCTGTGCTTAAACTTTTTGTCTTCTTTACAGAGCTGGGACTTGTTGATGGCCAGGAACTTGCAGTTGCAGATGTCACAACACCACAGACTGTACTTTTCAAACTTCATTTTACTACTTGATACAAATGCAAGTGATATCAACATTCATTGAAGAAAGCTTGCACAACTTGGAAAACTACTGTTGTGTTTTACTGGGTGGAAAGTTGACTTATCCAGACCTTATTTCTATTAATGTAAGCATTGCTGGAAGTTTGTTTACCCTGAGTAAATTGCTCTTATTTTAGAACTGACCTTGCAAACCAATATTTGGTTGAAGTTATCTGTATAAAAGCTCAGTAATGTACAGAAAGCTGATGTATAGCAGTATTTTTTCCAATTTATAATTACATTAAAAGAATGCCAGCACTCCTTTCTACATGTGGGAATCTCATGATGGTCACTAGATTAGTATTAGAAGTGCCCATGAATAGAGATAACACCAGCTGTTGATTCAGTGGTTAATAATGGTTCGTCCTTTGGACTAACAGGTGCTCTGCAGGCGCCCCAGCTTCCTTTCCCTGTCTCCTCCAGTGGGCACCCACTCAGGGGATGAGGCAGGGCAGGGAAGCCTGGGATGCTGCCTCTGAGTGGACACCCACCAGAGGAGGTTGGGGAGGGAAGCCGGGGTGTCTGCAGAACCCCTGCTCATCCAAAGGACCACCGTTATGAACTGCTGAACCAGCAGATGGTGCCCATTTTTACTGATGAATTGTCTGTGTATTCACAATAACAAAATGGATGAGGATTTTAAAATTACATTTTAGAATCTGTGTAAAAGCTTAGTTCAGATTGCCAGACAGTAGAATAAAATCAATGGCCTATTCCTTGCATTTCTTAATATGTCTTCACAGAGCTGTTTGTCAGATATTAAAGGTTGCCAAAACTCACTGTATTTTTTTTCCAAAATTTAGACAGATTGTACTTCCACTTGTAGGTGTAAAATTAATTCATCTGTATATTTGCACGTATTATCAGCTACTATGCATGGTGTTGCCCACTGATATTCAGAACTGGTGTTTTGTTGTTAGGATATTTATTAATAAAAATATACAAGGATTATTTTATCTGTGAAGATTCTCAGTCATCCAGGCGTGGTTATCTGGAAGTTGAGTCATAGCAACTGGACTTCTTTCTTGTTAGGCTGAAACATTTTGCTACTCATCCAAGTCACTTCTTTAGTTTGAGGAGAGTTGATAGGAGATCCCTGATACACCATATTTTTCCATGTATAAAATGACACTTTTCCCTAAAATAATTAGAGGAAAAATTGAGGTAGTAAGGAGGGGAGAGGGATCAAAGTACTTTTATCCCTGCTTTCCCCCTCCAGTTTCTGCAAAGAAAGTGGACAGGGAAAGGGCTTTCCTTGCAAGAAAGTGGAGGGGGAAAGCAGCATTTTGTAAAGAAAGTGGACGGGGAAAGGACTTTTTGCAAGGTGGAAAGCAGCTTTTTGCAAAGAACGTGCAGGGGGAAAGCACTTTCCTTGCAAGAAAGTGGATGGGGAAAGTGATTCCTTCTTTCCTCCTCCATATTCTTGAGAGGAAAATGCTTTCCCCCTCCACTTTCTTTGCAAAAAACTGCTTTCCCCCTCCACTTTTTGTGAGGGGGGGAAAGCAGCTGTTTGGAAAAGTGGAGGGGAAAAGCAATTTCCTTGCAAGAAAGCATGTCCCCTCTACTTTCTTGCGAGGAAAGTGCTTTCCCCCTCCACTTTATTTGCAAAAAGTGCAGGGGAAAGCAGCTTTTTGCAAAGAAAGTGGAAGGGAAAAGCACTTTCTTTCCAAGAAAGTGGAAAGCAGTAATCAAAGCACTTTGATTACTGCCTGGCCTATTCCCTGGTCTGAATAGGCTCGTTACTCATTGTCATGAGTTCTTAACAGTCGTTAACAGTGGTCTTAATCTTTCTGGGGAGGGATGAAAGGGTAACATGATAAAGAGGATACCGGTTGTATTTAAGGCCTCTACCCCTGTTGAATGAGGGATTTTCTACATGCACATGTATTGCCTCCCTGACCCCTCTCTCAATCCACCTATCTTCTCTGTCCAAAACGAGTGCATCTTGATCATCAAATAAACGCCCTTTGTCCTTCAAATGAAAGAACACTGCTGATTGTGGTCCTGAGCCACTGAACCTGCTGTGCTGGGCCATTCTCCTGTTTAGTGGCTGTTTGGTTTTTCCAGTGTAGAGAAACCAAACAGCCACTAAACAAGATAATGTAGAGAAACCAAACACCCATGACATGGGTGGAGAAGGACTGCAGAAGTGGGATTATCCCTCACCCACAATCCTTTGTCTTTCTAGTGAGTATATTCAAACCAGGGGAAATGAAACCAATGTGAAGAATATATCAGGGATCTCCTACCAACTCTCCTCAGACTGAAGAAGCTACTTGGATGAGTAGCAAAACGTTTCAGCCTAACAAAGAAGTTTAGTTGCCATGACTCAGCTTCCAGAAAAAGATTACTTTAGTTTGTTAGCATGTCAAAAATGTGAGCAGAACCACAGAAAGTGAAAAAGGTACTTTTAATCTTTAACAAAATTAAGAAAGCCTTCTGCCAAATGTGTACACACAATTAAGAAGCATTTAGTGATCAATGGGGATATATTTCTTTTCATGCTTAAATTACTGCTGTATTTCAAGTTACTGGGGAGTAAGCCCTGCTCAACTCAATGGAATTCACTTCTTAGTATATGTGCAAAAATGCTTTTTTTGGGGGGGGGGTACTGTGGCCATCTCATGAGAAGAGAAGACTCCTTGGAAAAGACCTTGATGTTGGGAAAGTGTGAAGGCAAGAGGAGAAGGGGACGACAGAGGATGAGATGGTTGGACAGTGTCATCGAAGCAACCAAGATGAATTTGACACAACTACGGGAGGCAGTGGAAGATAAGAGGGCCTGGTGTGCTCTGGTCCATGGGGTCACGAAGCGTCGGACACGACTAGATGACGACGAAGGAATGAAATGATGCATGAATGCTATTCATGTCCTCTCCATCTATTAGTAGAAACTGCAACTCCCAGAATTCTCCAGTTAGAATTCTAGGAGTTCCAGCTCAGAGGCACACATGTACCATTCCACCAAGCTAGGGGAAATCTCAGACTTTTTTTCAACCACTTCTATCCCAAATACAAAGGAATTATCAGAGCTGTTTTTCAACATGTGAATGGTAGTGCGCGCAAGGGGGTAAACCAGTGGTTCCCAACCTTATGTATCCCCGGTGTTCTTCGACTGCAGTTCCTAAAAACCTGGCCAGAGCAGTTGATGGTGAATGCTTTGTGGAATTACAGTACAAGAACACCTGGGTTTCCCATGGTTGGGAAAGCAGTGCTGTAGTATACCATCTTGAATGCTGCCATTCAAGTTGCCCTTTGCTGTGTAAAGCTTGGTATCCTTTTTTCTGCAAGCATGAGGGGTACAATATTGTGAAGCACAGTTTGGGCCATTTCCTTGTGTTTTAGAATCATGGATACAGAAGTACAATATCCCATATTCATAAACCAAAGGCATTTTGAAGAATTGAATTCTATTTAGTTAGCAGAATATGAGATAGAAAAACAACAACTCAGAAACATGTAAAGATCAACTCGGTCTCATCAACATCCTCTCCTTGTTTTTGTTTTGCACACCAACACACTTTGTATGATAAAATAATTAGACAAACATTTAATGTAGAAGGATATCATTACTTACAATTACTATTTGTAGTTACAGTCAGAAGGGGTGGGGTAAATTAAGTCTCCATCATATGGAAGACTCTCCATGTTTGTTGCTTGGTGAACAGTCAGAGAGAGAAGAGGGCTAACAACTGGAAGCAATTAAACAAACAGGAAAAAGGCTAGTAGCTTGCTTCAAATGCCAGAGGCAGGACAAAACTTTACAAATCAAGTCAGTGGCAAAAGGCAATCGCATTAGGCTGTAAAACCTCCCACTGATAGCCAATATAACTGCAAGCAAGACTGCTTTTATCGCAACAGAATCACCCAGCTCATAATTATAAGCATTCCTCTGTTTTTATTCCTTATTCATTGTATGCCATTTCTTACATTTAAATTGAACATCTGAAGGCAGGAAGTAGGATTACTCATCTTGTAAATCAGCGGTCCCCAACCATTTTGAGACCACAGACCGTTTGGGGGATGCAGGCTCTGTGTGTGGACCGGTTGGGGGCAGGGGCACCCCCGTACTCGTGGGTGGGCATCCCACGCTCATGGAGGGGTGTGTCATGCTTGCAGGTGGGTGTGTCACGCTTGTGGGTGGGCATGTCACGCTTGTGGACAGGTGTGTCACACGTGCATGTGCACCAGCACGACACACCCACCCACTCTCAAAATCTGCCTGGCCTCCAATTTCGGCCCAACCGGGAGCAGGAGCAGCAGCGGCGACACCTACTTGGTGAGTGTGGGGCTTCCTCCTCAGGGGCTCCCAGAAGCGCCCTGCTTCAGAGTTGTCTCCCTGGTCTTGGGAGGCACAGGAGCAACTCCGCTGCCGACCCTCCCCGCCTTGTAGAGGCTGGGTCCTGCCTGCCCCCCCCCAAAGCGCCCACATGTCCAGAAGGGGAGCACTCTCCCCACCCGGCTGTCTTCTCCTAAGTGGCGGAGATCGTGGGGTCGGGTTTGGTGCCACCGGGGCTTCTGGTTTTAGGTGTTCCTCTCTCCTCCCCCCCCGCCATTGTTCGTGGGACATTTGGGGAGGCGCTCCGGAGCGCTCCGGCAATGTGCCAGGGAAGGAGAGGCGACGCAGAGACCTTACCTTGAGCGCCTTATTGGGCTACCTCTCCAGGCGCTGGCTCCGCTGCTGCTATTACCTCGTCCTCTCTGCAGCTGAGGTGAAGGAGGGGCCCTGCTCGCAACCTGGCCGTGCGCTTCTTTCTCCTACCTGGCGCTCCTCTGCTCCCTACCCAGACGTGCCGCGGGAGGGGTTGATGCTGAGAGAACAGCCTTCTCTCTCATGCTCCCCTCCCCCTGGTCTCCTTTCGCAGCCTGCTGTGGAGAGCTCACGCCTGTCCATCCGTCTTGACGGTCTGTTGCTCGTTCCCTCCCTCTGTCTTCCTTTTCTGCTGCAGCTTGCTTGCTGCCACCACCGGGGCCAAAGAGCCATGGCCAACAAGGGGGAAGAAATGTGACCCAGAAGCGTGACACGCCCCTCCACAAGTGCAACACGTTCCCCGGTGAAGGCGGGGGGGCGGAGATCCATGTCCACGGCCCAGTTGAAGGAAGCCCACGGACTGGCACGGGCCGCGAACTGGGGGTTGGGGACCCCTGTTGTAAATTACTTTCTCTGTGTCCTTTTCTGAACCCTCAACTTACATTTACATTCTCTCCATCTCATTATATATATTGTTGTCTTAATACAGTTATCAATAAGATTTATGATTAGTAGATTCATAGGTTAATATGTTAAAAATTAACAGGAATACTATAGAAGGCTTAGGATCTTTGGGGTGTATCAGACGGGAATAAAATTTTATATATAGACAGACATACTAAGTTAATAGATTTTGAGTTTGTGTTTGTGCATGTTTGATATTCATTGGAAAGATTTCTGTTCTATAGCAAAATTAGTGTTCTTTGGGTAGAGTCTGCAGGCAGTATGAAAGGTGAGTGTAGTAGCAAAAGAAGTAGGCACTAGGAAGGCTGCATGAACGCAAAGGATATTAAACACCAGCAAGTCAGGGACGATGCCAGCTAACTTTCCATCAAATGCAGCAGCAGTTAGTGGGGAAGATCCAGCTAGCATGGGGGGGGGGTCAAAGCAGGAAAAAAGTAGCAATATTCATAGCACTCCAAACAGCAGTACCATCCCTGCAAGAGGGGTGGCAGATGCATAAATGTAACAGCCCTGCAAGCCAAAGAGACCAATCTCTTGTCTTACTGGACTGCGAAACAGTCTGTTTGGGGAGGTCTGGCCAAGGTGGCAATGGGGACTGCTGTCTTGCCAACTGGGTTGCCCAGTGAGAGAGTTCCCTCAGGCAGGGGACACTGGCAATCCACACCACTCACACCTAGAACATGGATATGTAGAAAAACCTATTTTCCTTAATGTCAACTTACTATTGCTGGGCTTCCCAGAAGTACCCTTAAAGTAAGGAAAAATGGCACTCGCTGCTTACAGTACTAGGTATGCCATGCTTCATTTTAAACCAGTCAGTCTGCTCCCAAATCTTCCAACTCCTACTCCAAGATTTGGCTCAATCACTCAATTGTGCTATGCCCCATGCTGATGGCACCGTTTGCATTCACCACAGGCTATATACTGCTCTGATCTGCCTGCCAGTGTGGCCCAGGATATTTGCCCACTCTCTAGTCTGACCTGTCCTCTGCTTCCCCAATGCTGTTAGTATTTCCTACTGGCATTCCCACTGGGTTAAATCAGTATTCCCTCTAAATATCAAGGAACTGCTGGCTGTTATTGTGTACTCTTGTTGTTTGACACCAAAAGTAGGAAGGTGTCAAGCAGACAGAGGGAAATCCTTTAAAAATATTTTGCCTGTTTGTGTTCTCTTTAAAGAGGAAAATAATAACTATATAGTATTCATATTGATTGTAATGGGAGTTCTGGTTATCTGGAAATTCCAGGTATTTAAAATTTCCAAATTCTAAATCTGAAGTGCTCTCGTTCCAGTTGCGGATCCAAATTTTGATGCTTAGTGCACATCCTTATTTTTCATTTGTAATCATGTTATGAAAGGATGGAAGCAATTAATGATGTGCCTTCAAGTCCGAACAGATTTTAAGGACCCTAGCAAGGTTTTCCAAGCAGGGGAGCAAACTGAAGGAGTGGTTTCTCCACTTCTATTCCCTCTGTGAGTTTCCATGACCAAGCGTGGATTCGAACCTTGGTCTCCAAAGTTTACTGAGGGAAGCAGTAACAGGTCATAAACAAGTCGCTGTCTCCCTTTCCTGTGTTTGCAGGGCAGGGCATTTCGAGAAGTGGAGGCGGGCGGGCAGGAGACTTCATCTTCCGTTGGGCCTACCAAGGAGCCCGGCTTGACGCTACCTTGGTGTCCAGGGCAACGGGGGAGGGTCGTCACGTGAACGGCAGCCGCTACCGAGGGCGCCGGCGCCGCTTGTTTTGCTACGTGGAAGCTGGAAGCCTGGCGCATGCGCGCTGTGTCGCCTTCCTTCTCGCCCGCTCCCCCACCCCGCCCCGCACCTGGCCTGGCGAACTGCCGTATCCGGGTGCATCCCTTCCGTCTCTCATGGCTGCCGAGGGGCAGCCGGGCGCGGGTGGAGGCTGAGAGCCGGCGGGTCGGGGACCAGAGGGAGATGAGTTGGTTCAACGCCTCACAGCTCTCGACCTTCGCCAAGCAGGCTCTGTCGCAGGCGCAGAAGTCCATCGACCGGGTGCTGGACATTCAGGCCGAAGAGGAGGAGGAGGGCGGCGGCGAAGGGGGCCCCGGTGACGGGCCCCGGCCCCGGCCCGGAGAGGCCGGTAAGGAGCCTCAGGGGCGAGGAGGAGGAGGAGCGGGGGGAGGGCCCCCTCCCTTTGATCCCCGGGCTAGGCTGGCGCTGAGGGACCCACCGACCCCACCCGCTGCCTTCATTCATCGATGCCCCCTCCCCCCCCCAACACGGCGGGCACCTCCCTTCCGTCTGAACCGGGGTGATGCCTGCAGGATGCGTGTCGTTGCCAGCGGTGGGAGCTCCCCACCCTCAGCTTTGCTTAAGTGACAGAGGGACCCAGCTGGGGACGAGGGGGGGGTCTTTTGAAATAAATAAACAAACAAATAAATAAAGGATCGTGCTGCAAATCATACAATTATTTTAATAATAACGGGGTCTGTGTTCCAACTGTGTGTGGATATACACGTGTCGTGTATGCATAGTACCCGCCGCTGCGTTGGTCATTGACACATCAGAGAATCGTAACATAAAGGGAAAGGAGGAAATGGGCGGATTTTTCGGTCCTTATTTCCCATGTACAGTCACATACCTGACATGTTTTGGGCAGGGAGGCAAGGGCAGGGGCTGTGTTGGTCTGTTGCCATAAAAGCAACCGTCTTGCAGCCTCTTAGAAATAGGTTTTATTTGGTACAAGCTTTGGTGGAGGACAGCAGCCCTCTTTGGCAGTTTCTTCTGTCCTTTGACCTATTGATTTTCTTCACTTATGTGTCCATTGTTTTTGTTTCATGCATCGTAACTGCATGCTTCCATTCCTTCCCTTACTAAGTGTGATCACCATTTAATCTTTCTTAATCTATGTATTTTAATCCATTTTTTCCTCTTTTCCATTTCAAGTAATAAGGACAACTGAAGTAAGAGTATTACATAGACACACTTGGAGAGTGTCACATGTTTTGCCACATTAACTTATCTGTTCTAGTTGTTTTGCAGCATAGTCTTCTGATTCTCAGTTTTCTGTAATAGACTTCGCCCTTCCGCCATGGTATTTGTTTATATTCTTTGTTGAGCAGTGTCAAAACAGCTTATTCTGTCTTGGTCTTGTGGAAGAAGATCATAATTGTGATTGCTTTCTGTTGTTAACTTCAGTTTAAAGATTACACAATTCCTTTGTAATTACAGTATCTGGCCCCAGAGGGTTTGAATTTGTTTTTCTAAGCAGCCCCTGTACTTACAAAATCACCAAACTGACATAAGTTAAATCATTGAATGCTTTTATTAAAACAATGCTGCAAAAAGTCACTGATATGTTAGTCTTCCCTTATCTTGATTGTTGATATAACAGCTTTGTTAAAATAGCATTAAGGATTGTCATAGTTTATATTGTGAGAGAGCCATTTTTTCTGTAATATCAGCCTCCCCTCCTCCGCCCATAGACATCTGAGGCCCCTTCTCCAGTATGAGTATCCTGCCACTTTTCCACTATAATCTTGTGTCACTTAACTCTACTAGTTGCTTGCCATTAACACACAGTAGCCAAAATCCTGTTGTTTACTGTAGTAAATCTCTCTAAAGTAGACCCATTGAATCAGTGGAGATTTGGTGAGTCATTTCCTCTGTAGGTTCCATTGATTTAGGTGAGCCTACTCTAAATGCATTGATGCTTTTGAATTATGGTGCTGGAGGAGACTCTTGAGAGTCCCGTGGACTGCAAGGAGAACAAACCTATCCATTCTGAAGGAAATCAACCCACAGTGCTCACTGGAAGGACAGATCCTGAAACTGAGGCTTCAATACTTTGGCCATCTCATGAGAAGAGAAATCTCCCTGGAAAAGACCTTAATGTTGGGAAAGAGTGAAAGCAAGAGGAGAAGGGAACAACAGAGGATGAGATGGATGGACAGTGTCATTGAAGCTACCAGCATGAGTTTGACCAACTCCGGGAGGCAGTGGAAGACAGGAGGGCCTGGCGTGCTCTGGTTCATGGGGTCATGAAGAGTCGAACACGACTTAACAACTAAACAGCAACATTCTAAATGCAACTTAGAATACTATAGATTCATTGAATCAGTGGAACTTGCAGAAGAGTTGACTCACTAAATCCTCATTAATTCAGCATGCCTGCGGGGGTGTGATTTATTGTGTATACAGTATTTTGGCCGCTGTCTCCCTGCAATTAACTTCTGACAAAACAAACAATCACCATGTGCTTTGTCATTATGTTCAGTATTTTCCTTTCATGGTTTACTGGTATTGCATGCAAAGGATGGACCAACATGAAACATAAAATATCTCTGTTGTTTAGCAAATATTATTGGTATTGGAGAGAATTACAGACACTGGCCATGCCCCACATGTACTGTAAATATTAGATCAGGATGGATAAAAATCAATGATTTTAAAAAAATCAAATTGATTTAAATCACGATTTAGATAAAAAATGATTTTAAAAAAATTAAAATCATTAAAAAATCAGATTTTTAAAATAAAATCATATCCACTCCGCATTAGACCTTCAGTTTCAATGTTCTTCTGCACATTGAGAAGGTGATTGATCCCTTTATTATATCACTAGAAAAAATATGCTGTCATACACAGATTGTTTTTTGCAGACCCATCTATTCAAAACTAAATGTATCTGTTCAAACTGGAATAATAGAGTTCTGATATAAGGGATACTGTATTCACATCTTTGGTTATGGTGGTTTGGGATAGGGTGACATTCCAGCATTGTCTCTCTCCCCCCCCCCGCCCCATGTAGTTTAGACTAGAGCTGCCATTACTCTCAGCAAACATGGCGATTGGTTAGGAATGAGGAGACTTGCCATCTGAAACCTGAGTCTGTTTTGTGCGACAACCACTTCTGTTGAACTTCTTCCTTCTATGTTGTCTCCAGATGTATATCCTGAATGAACTATGTTAAAGGATTTAAGTGTTGTAATGCATATTTCATTATATTTGTTCATGGCGGTGCCATTTTAGATTATGGGTCTGTAGACACAGGATAATAGCTATTTAATATTGAATTCCTAACTTCAATTATTCCTTAACTTTTTTCTTTTCGCACTGTTTCCTTTTCATGCACTTTCCCTCTCCATTTGTGTACTTTTTCTGATTTATTTACTTTGCAATTTCCTTGTGCTTTTTCTTCGTTCTCCCATGAGCCTTTGTCAGGCAACAGATAAACAATTCTGTTCATTCAGTGGAGTTATTTTCAAAGGTCAGTTTTAATGCATTATTAGAATAACAGTGGAAATAATGGCTGTTCAAAAAACGTAAGCAAGTCCAGCTCATATTTGGTCTTCCCTTTTTTCCTGCTCCCTTCCACCTTTCCCAACATTTTTGTCTTTTCCTGCAAATTTTGTCTTCTCATCATGTGCTCAAAGTAGGACAGTTGCAATTTCAACATCTTTGCCTCCACAGATAGTTCTGTGTGTAGGCATCCTTCAGTCTCGAGAGACTATGGTAACGTGCTCTGTATGAAGGTCTTGGAACAGTGTCTTGTGTGGCTGAGAAGGCCAATTCGAGAGTGACAATCTCTTCCACATTGAAGACAAATACAATCTGTCCCCTGTCCAGCTCCCTGGTTTTGCTTGTTTCGGGGCTGCCTCTTTGCCTCGGCCTGCTGTACAAGTGTCTCTTCAAATTCACAGATAGTTCAGGCTTGATCAAAATCTGGGACCCACTTGTTCATCTTGTTGGCATGCCTCGATATCTGCAAAGGTGTCTTCCACTACCACATTTCAAACAAATCAATTTTCCCTTGTCAGCTTTCTTTACTCTCTATCTCTCACATTCATACATAGTGATGAGAAATACAAGAGTGTGGATGATCTTGGTCTTGGTCTCCAGTGACACATCCTTACGCTTGATGATCTTTTCTGGCTCCATCATTCCTTCCCTTTTGAGTCTCAGTCTCAATTTGTGATCAGTTTCCTCTTGGATACTTGGTAAAAGCTTTCAATTTATCTTCATCAGCAATGGTAGTTGGAGCATAGATTTAAATGATGGTTTTGTTGATAGGTTTTCTGTCGAGTTTGATTGATATTATTTGGTCAGAGCTTGCATTATAATCTCTAACTGCTTGTGCTACGTCTTGCCTCAGTTTTCAAGCCACTCCATTTTTCCTGATTTTGCCATTTCCAAAATGGAACACTGGATAGTTGTCATACTGAAAATTTCCCATTCTAATCCACTGGAGTTCACTGATACTGAGCACTGCAATGTTTATGTGTTTCATTTCTTGATTTATGACTTTCAAATTATCTTGATTCATATTTCTCACATTCCATATTCTAATTGTATGTGTTGTACAGCTTTGGATCTTCCTTTCACCTCTGAGCACATCAACTACTAGATTTCCTATCGGCTGTAATCTAGTTGCATATGTCCTTGTATGCTAATATGTTTGTGTCCTATATCCTTTTAGTATGCTAGGCAATCTAAAGCACTGGTTCTTAACCTTGGGTTACTCAGGAGTTTTGGACTGCAACTCCCCGAAGCCTTCACCACCAGCTGTCCTGACTGGGGTTTCTGGGAGTTGCAGTTCAAAAGCATCCGAGGAACAAAGGTTAAGAACCACTGATCTAAAGTACACCTGTAATTTGTGGTGGTTTTCTGGGAACCCACAAGGATCCTTGCTTGCTTTAACTCCATAAGTAAGTGTTACTGTATATAGGTGACTACAGTGTCTGCTATTCCCATGTTTGTGATGTCCCAACAGTATTATCCAATATCTGTAACTGGGAAACATGTCTGTGCTGTTTAATGTAATGTTGTGCACCTCCTTACAGCTTTCTGTAATGTAATGTATGGAAATATGCCAAAATGTCTTTGCAGGTAATGATTTATGGCAGGCTTGTATGTGCCTTGTGATTTTAATTCTGAGTAGCACAATAAAAAGATCTTCCAACTTTAGCACTTCTTTTCATTACATTTGTATGTTAAATTCTAGAGTGTGGTGGTACTCCGTCTTCAAATATGTCTAAAACGTGGGAGATTGTTTTTAAGACCAAGGTGGTGAAATGATGTTCAGTTCCAGAAAATTTTCCATCTTTGGATGGAAGCACAAGAGTGGGATAAGTAAGCTACAGATACACCAACGTGAATTAGCTTGAGCTCTAATGTTAAAATGTGTTTATGCAGAAAGATGAAATAAAGTTTTAACTGTGCAAAGTAGATCTTACAAAGATGAGAATAAGATAGCTTGCAATATTACAGTAAGATAGGTAGAAATACATGTGTGGCATATGTCCTGATGACCTTATTTCCTTAACCATTTTGTTACTGAAGGAGCTGTATTATGTGTTATTTCCTTGTGGCTCAATGTTATCTATAGTTTGTCTGATAAAAGTTTTCAATTCCCTGGTCCATAAGTTTCCTTATAAGGTTCTGGGGTGATGATGGCAAGAAGGTATGTCAGTATGTTGGTTTAAAACAAGCAATATAAAAAAGTTTAAGCCTTAGGTTTTACTGGTTGGAGAATGAGAGGATCTCTACTAAAGCCATTTATGTGAGTGAAGCAAAACATCAGGTTTTATTAATATTAATATTTCATTTTAAGGGAGATGGCATATATCTCTGTAGCAGTGATTGTATGGGAATTGCCTTATGCAAAAGCCACCACTTAGGTGGAGGATCAGTAACCTGTGAAGAGTGTATCATGACTGTATTAGGACAAACTGTATTTTATCATGTGTACAGACCCAGGACATACATACTCACTTTCAATGCTCCTGTGAGATATTGGCATAATCTTCTTTTGAAGCTATGCAAATAGCATAACTTTTGACTGAAAAGAGCCCCAAGTTATGAAAGCTCCATAGATAGTTATCAGTTGCGCACTAAGTTGTACTTCCCAGTATGAAACTGACAATGTCTCTGATTGCTTAACTTCGGGCAATTTGCTTCCAAAAGCTACACCCTTTGTGCTATGCCAGGATAACTAGGTAAGAGGATTCAAGCACTGAAAGTTTTCACTTTAGGTTTAGCATTATTTATGAAACTTAAACTATGTATAAGCTTAGAGTTTATGGAAAACAAATTTCATAAAATACAGTTTAAACATAGCCATGCTTAGGACTAACCACTGCTTTTCCGGTTTCAGAGACATTATTAAACTGTGTTTAATTAGAAAGAAGCAAAACCTTGCAGTCTCTTCTTTGTAGATTCATAGAGGAGAGGAATACTGGGAGCTGACAAACTCAAGGCTCCTACGCTAATTTGTAAAATTGTGATTTATTATTATTTCTGAAAGGGACGTGGTGGCGCTGTGGGCTAAACTGCAGAAGCCTGTGCTGCAGGGTCAGAAGATCCGGCAGTCGTAAGATCGAATCCACGCAACGGAATGAGCACCCGTTGCTTGTCCCAGCTCCCGCCAACCTAGCGGTTCGAAAGCATGCAAATGCGAGTAGATAAATAGGGACCACCTCGGTGGGAAGGTAAACAGCGTTCCGTGTCTAAATCACACTGGCCATGTGACCACGGAAAGATTGTCTTCGGACAAAACGCTGGCTCTATGGCTTGAAGAGCGGGATGAGCGCCGCCCCCTAGAGTCGGACACGACTGGACAAAAAAAAATTGTCAAGGGGAACCTTTACCTTTACCTTTATTATTTCTGAATGTAGCTGATCTCATTATCATGTACAAAAGACTATTTTTGCTAGACTGTTCTTGGTATGTGTGTGCACGTAATCATACAGACGCTTCTACATGCACAGCAACATGCAAGGTTACTTCACGCTTTATGAAAGGTCTTTAACTGAAAAGGAGAAGACCCAACAGTGGGAGCCTATCTAATTGTGATTTAAAAATACATTTATCTTTTTAAATTTGAATTTTCTCCTCAATTGTTTTTCTTCCCCCCCCCCGTAGGAATAAATTCTCTTACAAGTGGAGGATGGGATACTTCTTCCTGGGGGGCAAGCTCAAATACAGAACCCCAAAGTCAGCCAGCATCATCACCAACAGCCATCACCAAACCAGTGAGGAGGACTGTGGTAGATGAGTCAGAAAACTTCTTCGGTGCCTTTCTCTCTCCATCAGATGTTCAGAACATACAGCAAGGTCCAGTGGTATCTACGCCACCTACCAAATCTCAGCGACCCAAAGAAGATGTAAAAAGCACAATACAAGAATCTCTGCACACTGATCTTTCAGAAACACAGCCAAAAGATTTTGCTACAGTTTCCCCCGTCGAACTGAAAAACTTCAGTAGCTCCCAGGAGAACCTGGAAGAAAACCATTCCTTAGGTAATTCAGAAGTCAAGCATGACGAAAACAGTAGTAAAGGTACTGATCAAGAGGAATCTCCTGAGATTCCCAAGGTAGCAGAATCTGCCGCTATTGTGAAATCAGTGTCAGCAAGTGATGGACCTGGACCTGTGCCTGACATCTCCGTGCAGCCTCTTTCTGCAGAGACAAAGAACTTAGGCCTGGAAACAAAGGAGCGAAAAAGCGAGGATCGGCAAAGCAATACACCTTCACCTCCAGTTAGTACCTTTTCCTCAGGGACATCTACAACTAGTGATATAGAAGTTTTGGACCATGAAAGTGTAATAAGTGAGAGCTCAGTCAGCTCAAGGCAAGAGGCTGCCGACTCCAAAGCCAGTCTTCATCTGATGCAGACGTCATTTCAGCTCTTATCAGCATCCGCTTGCACAGAATATAATCGCCTAGATGACTTTCAGAAGTTGACTGAAAGTTGCTGCTCCTCCGATGCTTTTGAAAGGATAGACTCATTTAGCGTGCAGTCTTTAGACAGCCGAAGCGTAAGTGAAATTAACTCAGACGATGAATTGTCAGGTAGGGGATGCGCTTCGGTATCTGTTGCCATCAGCGTCCCTGTACTAAAAAGTGATGAGGCCGAACCTATAAAAAACAAATCTGAAAGTCTCGTGCTGGCTGCAGAAGAAACAGAAATGGAGGAAAGTGCGCGAAGTGCAACCCCTGTAAACTCTGAGCAGCCAGATGCCTTGGCTGTTTCTGTGCCAACTGTTGAAGGGCAGACCCAGAAGGAGGACATGGTGGTTCTTCGGTCCAGAGCGGAGAAGTTGTCCAATGCGGAGTGTGAAAAAGAAGAGCTTTGCAAGGTAATCACAGAGCTTATCTTCGAAATTGCTGATGTCTGTGCAGTGAAAAAGATGCAGTAGGTTTTTTGGGGGGAATATAACGCCATCCAGTACAGGTTGGATCCCTGTCCCCTGATTTGCCTTCTGACAGAGTACCAATGTCTTGTCTGGATTAAGTTTCAAGTTGTTAGCCCTCATCCAGCCCATTACTGACAACAGGCACTGCTTTAAGCACAGAGCAGCTTCCTTGAAATCCAACTGTTGACTTTTGCTTACTTCTGTTCCAGCTGTTTCTTATGATGGGGCTTTGTGGGGATCGAGGTTTGTTTGTCTTCATGATCAAAATTTATTCAGATATAATCCTTGTATACACACAGAGATGAATGTTGTAGGTTAAATCAGAGCCTCCATAAAAGATACAGTTTCTGTCCCTTTATTCATAAACATACTTGTATAAAATTCAAGCTGAATGACTATGTCCTAGAAAACTATTAGAAACATTCTTGTTTCTTATTAGGCAAGTAACAATCTGTTTAGACAGAGCAGTCTGCATTTATTTATTTCCATTGCATTTAAGACACCTTATAGCCATTATACCAATCTTCTCACTACTTCTCTAAAATCTTCTTCAGATTATTGATTCCTTGACGGAGAAACTGGAAATGAGGGAAACTCAGCTATTAAACGTTAGTAAAGAGAAAGCACACCTAGAAGAAGCTTGTGATAACTTTAAAGAGTAAGTTTTAGTCAATAGCATTAATGTTGAGACGGTAAAGTTCAGATCAAAATGTTGTGATCACTTTTGCTTAACACATGTGGGTTTTTTTGGTTTTTGCCACACATAGCTTTCGTACTTAAAATTAATGGCTTGTAACACATTGTTTTAACAATTGAATTACATTATTGAATATCACTGAATTGTACTACAGTGAGTGTTATCAGTCTTCGATAGCTGAGATAACAATTTGTTCATTTGGGGATTTGAAGTCAAGCAAGGCGTTTCCTTTGCTTTAACCTAGCCCTTGCAAATCTGACATTAATTCAAGTGCAGTTTGATTTTGCCCAAATCCTTATTGTTTATTTGTAACATCTGTCAAAAAGGAACATGCTTGCAGAAACTTGATCAAAGCTGGTTTCATTGTTGATTTTAAAAAGGAGCAAGATGGGGAATACCTAACTAAGTTCTGAGTGGGAGCAGGTGCATGGTGGGAGTTTGCCAGACTATTTGGCTTGTTTCAGCACTTGCAGCTAGGGCAAGATGGTCGAAGTGGCTTCATACATGTATGTCAATCAAAAAGTTTAAGAATGGAGCCAGTGAGGGAGTCCTCACTTCCTGTTTCTCAGAAGGAGAACTGCGTGTGTGTGAGTGTGAAAGAAAATTGGAGAAAATGTTCTTGTACATGTGCATCTAGCATGCAGTTTGAAATGCCAGGTACATTCATAATGATGTAGATGTTTTCTGTTTAGTGAAATCTTCAAAATTAAGGACGAGAACAGTAGCATTTCATCTCTCAAAGAAGAGTTTGCTCAACGAATAGCAGATGCAGAGAAAAAGGTTCAGTTAGCATGCAAAGAGAGAGATGCAGCTAAAAAGGTAATGTTTTCTTGTGGTGATTTTTTTAAACAGTGTCATTGCTGGATTTCTTGAAATCAGACTGTGAGATCCAACTTAGTTTCAGATGATGTGCCATACAAAAGCCACAACAGTGTCACAGGAATCCATAAGGGTGTTGTCAGGGGAAAAAAAGACTACCAGTAGTATGTAACCCCACCATCACACCACAGTCATCATAATGATGTAGTTAATCAGAAACCAGGTTGTGAGTAAGAAAATTATTGACGGAAAAATTTCAATAATATTTTTCCCCATAAAATTCATTAGTAATTATGAATGGATGCCAGTACAATATTAGATAAGCCCTCCAGTATAAACATCATTTTAGTGAGTTAAATGATTTATTTATTTATTGAATTTATATCCCATACCATCTGGTAACCAGGCCACTCTGGGCGGCTAACAACAGTATTAGGAACAATATTAAAATTAATACATAATAATGTAACCCCACCATCACACCACAGTCATCATAATGATGTAGTTAATCAGAAACCAGGTTGTGAGTAAGAAAATTATTGACGGAAAAATTTCAATAATATTTTTCCCCATAAAATTCATTAGTAATTATGAATGGATGCCAGTACAATATTAGATAAGCCCTCCAGTATAAACGTCATTTTAGTGAGTTAAATGATTTATTTTTTATTGAATTTATATCCCATACCATCTGGTAACCAGGCCACTCTGGGCGGCTAACAACAGTATTAGGAACAATATTAAAATTAATACATAATAAATAGGAAAATTAAAACAGATGGCAATAAAAGTGGTAAAAAGGGTGATGGAGAAGATGGTAAAAAGGGAGGGTGACATCTTAATGCTCTGGGAAAGCCTGGCGGAAGAGCCAGGTCTTCAATGCTCTTTTGATCCCATCCAGTGAGGGTGCCAGGCAAATCTCAATAGGCAGAGGTAGAGTTCGTTGACCTTTGCAGGCTGTATTTTTCAGTGCTGGGAGCCAGGCTTTGTTCTGCCCAGCCACAAGGACCGGTCATCACTGCACATAAAAGACCAGCTAACGACACCCATCAGTCACAGTGTCAGATAATCTCTCCCCCTTATCACAACAATACACCCACAACAAAAAACCGGCTGATCACCAATCTCCTGAACAGGAGAAAAACTGATCCCACAGCCATAAATACGCAACTACCCAGGCAAACTGCATCAGAGTACAGACAGAGTTCTGACTCCTGTCCTCTGAAGATGCTGGCCACAGAGACTGGGGAAGCATTAGCCAAACAACCTGGAAAACCCACAGCAACCATTGGATCCCGGCTGTGAAAGCCTTCGAGAATACTCCTTAATGAGTGTTTAACTTGGATCCCGGCTGTGAAAGCCTTCGAGAATACTCCTTAACCTTCAACCACCATACAATACAGTGTTGCATTTCTTCTTTCAGGAAATTTCAGGAAATTTTTATTGTCACAATACCCCTGTGAGTTATTAGCAACCACACTGACTGGTTCTCCAGTTAAGATTTCATCTGGTTCACCAGTTTATTTTAGAATTACAAGTCAAGAATAGACGCTGTGAAAGCCTTCGAGAATACTCCTTAACCTTCAACCACCATACAATACAGTGTTGCATTTCTTCTTTCAGGAAATTTCAGGAAATTTTTATTGTCACAATACCCCTGTGAGTTATTAGCAACCACACTGACTGGTTCTCCAGTTAAGATTTCATCTGGTTCACCAGTTTATTTTAGAATTACAAGTCAAGAATAGACGCATCCTAAAGATCCTTACGAGGAGTGAAGTGTGAGATAATGACAGGCTGAAAATTACACAGTGATACTTGTGGCCAGGTGGAGATTTGACTCCAGCTCTCCCCACTTCTAGTCTGATATTCAAAGCATATCACTTCAAATACTTTCAGACTATTGGAACATAAGAACACTTTATTTAGTAAAAATATTTTTTAAATGTGCATGTCATATTCTAGGAAAACCTGGAAAATTTTCCATTTTAGACTTTCCCACATAACTGGCTAGAATCCTGGAACGAAATACACATGTACAATGACAGACAGCTGGCAGGCTAGAATCCTGGAACGAAATACACATGTGTAATATACACATACACAGTTGTGCATGTGATTTTCACTTTCCCCTGTCCATTGTGTGATAAGTTGCACAACCAGAGCATGTTTGGCCCATAGCAGACAGTTGGCAAGTGACTAGCTATTGTTTCATAATTGCCCTACCCTGAGCATTTAGCAGTTAGAATGCTATTGTGTTAAATGATCAAGGAAGGGTACTTAGGCAACAATAGCTAGCCGCTTGTTAGCTGTCTGCTGGTGTGAAGTATAGCACAAGCATTGCATAACTAAGCATGAGAGACAGCTGGCAAAATAACTAGCACCACTTGCATGGTTTCCTTTCTGCCATCATGTAACTCAGCAGGATTCTGATAATTGTCTTTAACTTCTAAACTATAGGCTAGAACCTCTAGTATGGCAGTTTTCAGAATTTGTCATAGTAAATATTTTTCAGATTAAAACGTTCTAGCAACCTAGCCCAATTAAAAGAAGGCTAGCAGTGCCGCCATATAGAAAGACAGATCTATTCCAACCTTCTTTGTATGAATTAAAGATATCTTTAGTCAGTGGAAATGGAGCAAGCTTTCCATCTTGAAAGGGATAGGCCAAGTTTTTTTTTAAATGGTGAAATTAATTATTTGGCCAAAGGGGACTTCCCACTTGTTTCTTCTTGAACAGCCTCACTTGTGAAACCTGGTAACTTACTCCTGAGATTAGGCTAGTTCTGAAAGTGTTCTGTAATATCCTATAAAAGGCAGCCGAACAATGAGAAAAAAGCAAAACAGCAACAAAATCTTAGCAATACATTTTAACCAGAAATTGTTGGGTTTACTGACTGAAAGAATTATGGAGGAGCTTTCACATATAACAGCCAACCATGTGTTTATTTGGAAAACAGTATTTCTCAGCTTGCATTGCAGGAGAACTATAGGAAATTGATGAGTGAAAGTGTGCTAATTATAGAAAATTAGGCTTCAGCTACAGAATAGAGTCCATCCTCTTATTCAAGATGTAAATAAGGTAACATGCTTGAACAGTAATAGGTATCCACTAAAGTAGCAGCACCAGTTGTAAAAACCTCACGGTATTGGCCAAAAAAAAAATCAAAACCAAAACCCGAATCTTTTGATGCCACCTATGAGCAATACACCAGCTTTCTTCTATATAAAGGAAATTTTGGGTGAAGTGGCAGTGCAGGAATGATGCCTGATGTGGCAACTTTTTTAAAATTGTCAGTATTGTATAGCTCACAGGCCACTGTTCTTGGATTAATACAAATCATGAATTGGTATGTTTGCTTTCATCAAAAATATTAGATATGTGTTTATTATTAGAATACTGATAAACAGTTCTTTTTTATTATTATTATGAGGAAAATCCCATAAGGTTCAAATATTTTTAGTAGTCGTGGTCAAAAAGTATATAAGGAAATAAAATTATTATTTTTTTTTGTAGGAAGTAAAAATTCTCAAAGAAGATTTAGCAACTAGATTAAACAGTAATGAAACTGCTGAACTGCTAAAGGAAAAAGAAGAACAAATTAAAGGATTAATGGAAGAAGGTAGGTATGAGTAAACAACAGATGATGGAAAACAGGCTTAACATGTTTCTTCATGTCTTTAGCTATTTTAAAGCTGTACTATTACAGGTAGCTAACTGCAATATTAATTTTAAAGGGTTGATGAAACATAGAACTCTAGTTTTTCAGAAGTATGTAATAGGATAAAGTTGAACTTTTGCAGCTTCCCACTTGCCAATTTATGTTCTCTGAAAGAATAAAGATAGGAAATGGATTATACGAAAATAGTATACTTGTAGTGTTGAGCTGCATAACACAGTAAAAACCTCCTTTGTGCAGCTTTAGTTGTAATTAAATGTCCCGGTTCTGTCATCACCAATCTCTATCAAGTGTGTAAGAAATCAAGGCAACTCAAGCTTCAAACTGATAATTATATATTTTGATACTTATTCTTTCTGTATTTATTTCACAACTTCTATTAGGGTCTTTAGGTCATGCCTGATCAACAGAGCATTCAGTACTCTGTAAGGGCCAGTGCCTAGATTTTTCCAGTTGCCTAACTTGACTAGGAACACTTATGTAGTCATTGTTGGATTATTATCTTCTACTGCTGAAGTAAACATTTCTTTAAATTGTGAAAGGTATATATTGAAATGCTTGCTTTTTATTTTGTTAGTATGGATAAAAATTTTCAGCAGCTAAAATCCTATTGGCATTTCACTCCGAAGTAAATAAAATTATATAAATTACAGTGGCAAATATCAGCTGACTAACAAGATGTTGGTTATTTGGACGTTGGTTATTTGCACGGCAGTTACATGACTGGCGAATGACTAGGCATTTGACCAGCATCTCATTAATTAGCTGCAATTTGCTGCCATGACTTGCATGTCTTCATTTATTCCATAGTATTTTATCCTGCCAGATAGAATGTAACCTAATTCAAAGTCTAGTGAACCTGAAGTGTCTATGTTTTAACACAGGTGATACATGAGTGTAAATCAAGATATTTGTGTGCACTGGGTTGTGAATTGGTGTGAAGAAATACAGATGTATGTTAAAGATGCACTGGTGTTAGCTAATTAAGTCCCTTTTTCTTTTCAGGAGAAAAGCTTTCAAAACAACAGTTGCAAAATTCTAACATCATCAAGAAACTAAGAATGAAAGAGAAGGAGAGAGAAAATACTAATATAAAGCAGAATAAAAAAATCAAGGAATTAGAAGAAGAGTTACATCATTTGAAAAAGGTTGGGTGAATTTTAGATACAAATCTTTAAAGGGAGTTTTGACTAGTTATTTGGGTTGCACTGTTTCTTATTTATTTTGCTTATTTTTTATTTCAAGCATATGTATTCCATCTCCAAGGATGAAGGTAGCTTCCAAGAGGAATTAAACATTTTATAAAACACATTGGCTAAAATCCTGTTGATAACTTTTATGATGCATAAGGCTGAGGGTGTCATCAGTGGCAGCCTTTTTTCAGGAAATAAAAGTTTCCAGTTCACCTCCCCAAAGGTTCCAAAGATCCTTTGGGATATCCTTTGTCCTAAGAAAGCCATAAATGCACCCAAGAAATCGTACAAAATATTTAAAAGATAAATCTCAAGTCAGAAAAAAAACACCAATAAATTACAGTGTTAAAAGCAATGACACATATTATATATTAAACTTGTTTAATATAAATAATTTAAATCAATTTAAAAGCACATTTAGAAAGTTAGAAAAACCAACATACCCCAATGAAGCTCATCCACTGGCAACTACATACTCATCACAAGGCTGCCTGAAGACTGGAAGCAGTTTATCTGCTGGCAGAAAGATGGCGGGTGGGAGGCAGCCTTGCCTTCTGTGGCAGAGAGTTCCATTGAAATGGACCTCTCCCATATATTCACGTAGCACACTTGTGAAGCTGGGGAGACCGAGAGAAAGGCCTTCCCTGCGGATCTTAAAACCTGCCCAAACTCATATGAAGGGTTTTTAGGATTTTGGAGTGAGGGTGATAAGGGATGCTACAGGAGATAGGAAGTCACCCTCTTCTTGTTCCTTCCAGTGGAAACCTAACGTTTGGACACTATCTGTAGTGCCTGATCTGTAGCATGCCCTCCTCTGAACGTGCCCTGTCTGTAGTGCACTAGGACGGCCATGGCCATAAACCCAACATGAAAGAAATATAGGCTGAATCATAGCTGTGTAAGTCACATAACAAACCTTATAATGTGGTATATGAAGAATTGTTTCCAGCCTTCAAATGTGCCAGGGCCCCCAGGAGGCCATATGCCTCCTCACCCAAGAATGGCTGCACTAAAGTAAGACTGCTGTAAATGACACTGTGAGGATATTTCATGCTGAAGGCTCTGCATCATGCTTTAGATGGTTTTTCTTTCCATAGTGAGTGATTCCTGTACCGAATACAGTGAATAGCATAGCTGATGAACAGCAGTGGTTTTGGATCAAAATATTGGTCCCAGACCGTAAAGTGATTTCAAAACAAGAACCAATACCTTGAATTTGGGCAAATTATAGTTGCTCTTTTAATTATTAAATGTTATTTGGGGAATGAGCTTTCTTGGAAGCTTTGGTTTTTTTTTAAAAAAAACAAACCTAGGTGAACACACAGAATAGATTGAGTATGTTGCCACCTTCCAACATGTATTAGGAGACAGGCTGCAGTATTTTATATTAACTGCAACTCTTTGACAAATGCAGTGAAAGTTACAAATTGTGACATTATGGGGCAGTTGTGTAATTGTTTTTGTTGCAGAGCCAGGTGCTGTTTGGTAAGGCAAATGGGCCTCACTACTTGCTGACTCTGTCAAACCTACAGTTCAATGCATTCCAATGGGGGGGGGGAATTCACCAAAAATTAACGAAGTCAGAACAAAGCCAAATTAAGTTTGCAAAGGTTTTACAAGGTGCACTAACAATTCCAAGCATTTAAAACAGTTTTTGAACATTTTAAGACACTTTAAAAATAGTGAAAACGGACCTGTCAAAACCATTGAAATACATTGTAACCTATTCAATGCATTCCAATGGGGGAAACATCGTTTCACTTAGCAATGTTTCCTATGGCGATTTTCGCTTAAGGACGGTAATCCGTTCCCATTGCAACGGATTATCTGGTTTTCAATGCATTCCTATGGGAAATGGTGTTTCGCTTAGCGATGGTTTCCCTTAGCAATGTTTTTTTGGGAACCAATTAACATTGTTAAGCGAGGCACCACTGTATCTCCTAAACCATAGCTGGATAATAGATTGTAATGAACTTTCATTACAACAGGTGTTGGATGGCAAAGAGGAGCTTGAAAAACAGCATAGAGAGAACATTAAGCAGCTAAATAGCGTGGTTGAACGACAAGAGAAGGAACTTGTCAGATTCCAGCTGGATCTTGAAGATCTGGAAGAGAAGAATCGAAGCATTCAAGCAGCTCTCGACAGTGCTTACAAGTAAGGGTATTTCCATAAAATGGACAAGAATGTTATGTTTGAGCCTAGTAGAAATCCTTCTTCATTTAGGAGAATGCTTCTATATATTCTGTTGTATGCTAAAGTGTGTATGTTGTGATGTTCTCTTCTTTTCCAGAGAACTAGCAGATCTTCATAAAGCCAATGCTACAAAGGACAGTGAGGCGCAAGAAGCAGCTTTAAGTCATGAAAGGAAAGTGAAGGAGGAGCTGAGCTTAACTCTGGAGCGGGCCCAGGAGGAGGCTCGTCAACAGCAAGAGGCTTTAGCCATTCAGGTCAGTGTTAGGTGCGTTGACTAGAGCTGACAAGTGTTTTTATTGCCAGCATTATTTTTCTTAATGCTTACACTTCACATCATAGCAGTGAGCTCTGGAAACCATAGAAATGGTCCCCTAAAAAGGATATAGTTAAGCCCAAGTAGGAATGAATGAATCATAAATTGCAATCCTGTTGCATAGTTATGCAAACTACATAATTATTGGAAACATATTGCTGTAAGCTAAGAATTCCTTGTAGTCATCTGTTGCGATACTGAGTCACACAACTCAGCATGCATGATTTCTTAGCTTCCAGCAATTCTCCTCTGAAAGTTACACTGTGGAAGAGTATTTTAGCCAGAGAGACATACTGTATATACTCAAATATAAGCCTGGTTTTTCAGCACATTTTTTTTTTGGCTTATACTCGAGTCAGTGTCAAAAATTGCATGTTCTCCCCTGCAGTACAGGTGTACTCCGGACTCCCCTGCTCATCTATGGGTGCCTGCAGCCTCTGTGGGTGGTCTGATAACCTGGGTTAAGTACACAGCATTTCCGCTTCTAGAATAAACCCATCCTCCTCCTTCTGCATATTCTATGTACCCACCTTCCTCCTCCCATCTTCCTCCTCCATCCTCCTTCTCCCTCCATCTTGTTACGCAGCAGTAGAGCAGTAGATAAGCACAGCATCTGGTAGTCCTCTCTCTGCAGGCTGTGAAGTGTGTCTTGCAGCATAGAAGGGCAGTATCTTCAAAAACATTTAGCCTACTGATGCCTCAATTAATGTAATTTTATTGGTATCTGTTTTTATTTTTCCACCCTTTGCTTACCAATAGCTGCTGCATTTTCCACCCTTTGCTTATACTCAAGTCAATATGTTTTCCCATTTTTGTGGTAAAATTGAGTGCTTCGGCTTATATACAGGTCGGCTTATACTTGAGTATATATGGGTAAAATTATATGGAGAACAGTGAGAGGGCTGCAAACTGAAAGCAGGGATGAGGAATGTTTTAGACTACTAACTCTCCCAGTACTATACCACTGGTCATACTTGCTGAGACTTTGGGCTTGGAGAGCCCCATCACAATCTTAATAGACCGCCACCAAAGCACTAGACTTTTACTGTGCTAAGCAAGGAACATTTGACTTTGACTGCTGTGTTGCTACAGCATTATTTTGTTTTTGGGTTTTTTTGTACGTCATACTGATTTCTTGTGACTGTGACTAAAAATATTACTTCCTTAACTGTTCTAGGAGTGATAGTCACAATTGCTGTAAGCATACACTTAATTTTTAAGCATATTGGCATCTCATTATGCCTGTCAGTGTCACTGATTTGTGCTAAAAGGCAAAGGAGTATTTGATATATGATTTCAGTGCACTGTTTTGTGTCTTCATTCTTGCTTTGCAGGTATCAGATTTGAGACTGGCCCTGCAACGTGCAGAACAACAAACAGCTAGAAAGGAGGATTATCTGCGCCAGGAGATTAGTGAGCTGCAACAGGTACTGTCGCAGTTCCTTGTCCAATGTTAGATTATCCTTGCCTTTTGCAAAATGCGAGAGATTTTCTTTAAATCTTGCATGACTGACTTTTAATCCCCCCCAAGTAACCCATAACAGACAGAAACAGATTTTAAAAGAGGACAAAGAGCGGGAACTCTTCGTTTCTTTTGCACATGTCCCAGTATATCTCTGACGTTGCTTGAAATGCAAGGACATGATGTGATTCACATGGGTAGTCTATCAGTACAGTGCATTTTTTATGTCAGATGATTTTTTTTCTCAAGGGAAATGAGCTTAACTTTTTCAGTAGCTAGCTTTAGTTACCTCCCACACTGTATCAGAGGAATTGTGGTGTGAAAAGAGAGTAACTAGCCAGTGGGCTTGAGGTGTCTAATGTATAGATTTATTTAAAGCTCAGCAGTTTTAAATGAGTGTACCATGGGCTAAATTCAGCAGTTGCATTAATGGCTGCCCACTAGTGGGATCTGTCTTTCTCACCCCCTTGCACCCTTCCATACTGGCTCCCAGTGTAGGGTTTTGGTGTGTGTGGGGAAGACTCCCCTCCTCCACACACACCCCAAATTTCACTGACAGTGGCAGTTATGTCAACAGAAGAAATTGATTGGATCTTGGAGGGATTCAAGGTTGGGGGAACAAAATTGCATTACATCTTTGTACTACAGAGTTTTGTTTTATCTGTGTACTTCTATATGACATCTGTTTTACGTAGTAGATTTGAACTATTTGAGTTGAACTCTGTGCTCTGTTTTTAATTCTTGTAATTTATTTAAGTTGCAGGAACACTTGGCATATTGCTTACAGGTGTGGATGCTGCCTTTATGTTGCTTATTAGTGTTCTTTTTGCAATGCATAGTTTAGGGAAAACCTGATAGCAAAACCTGACAGGTACCCTAGGACTTAAGTGATTCTTACCCATTTTGTAATTTTAGAGACTCCAAGAAGCAGAAACGCGCAACCAAGAGTTGAGTCAGAGTGTTACATCTGCTACCAGGCCCCTGCTGCGGCAGATAGAAAACTTGCAAGCAACCCTAGCAGCACAAACCTTGTCCTGGGAGAAGCTGGAGAAGAATCTTTCAGATCGGCTCGGTGAGGCAAGGGTTATTGGTGCATCGGGTGGATTGGTGGGTGTGGATTGCATGCATGCTCATCAATATTAGAGCAAGAGAAGGGGATCTGTAAATCCCTATCCACATCATGTCTTATCTCAGCCATGAGTACTTGCTTGCTCTTGAACATTTCAGCTTCTGTGTGTGCAGATCAGGCTAATGTGGAGAAGTGATGTGGTGTATTGCCTGAATCAAGAATTGAATCTTGCACTGCTCTTCTTTCATTTGGTGGGGAAACGGGTCAGGGAAAGACCCAGGCAGAGCCCCAGAGAACTTCCTCTGTCTCATGTTCATGTTCCCTTGTGAGCAACATAGCCAAAGGGCAAACTGAATTGTCCATTTTTCTTTTAAAAATAATTGCCACATTGGGACAGTGGGGAAGAAGGTCAACTTATGCCATCACACAGAAGTTGTCTGCCCCAAGAGGCAAGTTGCCATTGTGCTAACAGTACAGTGGGGTCTCAACTTACAAACGTAATCCGTATTGGAAGGCAGTTTGTGAGTCGAAAAGTTCTTAAGTCGAATCTGCATTTCCCATTGGAATGCATTGAAAACCATTTAATCCGTATCTGCTCTTTTCTGTCCATAGAAACTAATGGGAAGCTGCTATTCCACCTTCTGCCACTAGAGGGGAATATTTTTTCTTTTTTTCTTAGGTCAAGAAAAGTTCAGGAAAGGAGTGGGGAGGCAGGGAACAGCTTTAAAAGCACTTTTGAAATCTTTTTTTTTTAACGAAGCCAATTTTAAAGCATGTTTTAAAGCATGTTGTCCTGATTGACCCAGGCTTTGCAAGCCAGAATGCCTCTCCCGCTTTTTTTCCCCCCCTTTTCGGTTCATCCATGTTTTCAGTTGGTTTTTTAAGATACCCAACGAAGGGGCCGCATGAATCATCGGAGGGAGATTGTTCCAGAGACGAGGAGCCACTGCCGAGAAGGCCCGGTTTCTAGTTCTTTCCTTCCGGGCCTCTCTTGGTGTCAGGTTCCTCAGCCTCACCTTCTGATTCACGCAGGTGATACGGGTAGACCTTGGTTAAATGAAAGTTCAAATTTAACGCTTTCCCTACCTCCCGCATGGTTTTTTTCAGTTCGTAACTCGAATCTAAGTTTGCAAGTCGAGTCAATATTTTTCTATCAGAGCGGTTTGTAAGTCGAAATGTTTGTAACTAGAGCCGTTTGTAAGTCGAGGGTTGACAGTAGATGCTCTCTCAAGGAAAATAGCAGCTTTGTGTGGAACATAGGATTTTCATCAGGAGCTCAGCACATCAAAAGTTAGCTTTTCTCCCCGCTCAGTAAATGTTACCCATTTGGCTCTTTTGAAAGCCAAAACAGGACCTGATAAATGCACCCACATTTTATAGATAAAATGACTTGGTCTTTCAGATGGGTTTCTTCCCTCAAGTGAGGGTCATTGTGGATATATATTTTTTTCCCTTTAGAGAACTTTTCAACTGAGCATGTGTTACAACAGCTCAGAAGGAGGAATGATAAGAGAAATCTCTGTTACCCCAAGTAACACTTAAATATCAATTGGTAATATTACTAATACACTATTTCATTTCTTGTTACTAGGGGAATCTCAAACTGCCCTAGCGGCCCAGGCAGAAAGAGAACGCGCTGCTACAGAAGAACTTCTTGCCAATAAAATTCAACTCTCTGCCACTGAGTCACAAAATAGCATCCTAAGGCAGGAAAACAATCGCCTTCAAGCTCAACTCGAGGCAGAGAAAGTCAGGCTTAAGAAACTAGAAAATGAAAACAACCGGTAAATAGTTTTAAAGTTTATAACTGTTTCTATAAAGGAATACATTCAAGCAGGCACTTGGTGTGTTATCATAAAGGATCCTTAAATATGTACTGGTTTTAAAATTTTTATTGGGATCATTTCAGAAAGAAAAAGAATCAGTAGGGTTGTTTTGACCTCAGCAGTTGGTGAATGTGGAAATCCAGATCCTGACATTGTAAATTCAAGTAGAGCTGACTTTCTAGCAGCTGAATCCATCTGCAGTGCATGGAATAAAGGTTTGCTGTTAATGTGTACCTTTTGAATATATAGCCCCAGCATTTGCAGGGATCTTTTAAACACTTTTATGGTTATGGAAATTTGGAGATGAAAGGTAAATTCAAGTAGAGCTGACATTCTAGCAGCTGAATCCATCTGCAGTGCATGAAATAAAGGTTTGCTGTTAATGTGTACCTTTTGAATATATAGCCCCAGCACTTGCAGGGATCTTTTAAACACTTTTATGGTTATAGAAATTTGGAGATTAAAGGCACAGTTGTTTAATCAATGAGTAGAGTTATTGAGAATAATTAAATGGTCACACTTAAGATTTTCAAATGCATATCAAGGGAATTAGAGTTATACAACTAAAAGTTACTAAGATTGAAAAGGTTATAAGCCAGGAAGCATTTAAAAATCAATAGTACAGCTAAATTTAAAGAAATACATTAAAATAATGTGTATCTGTAACTAGCCTTAAAGGGACTATCTCAGATGCATCTCAAAATACCACAGATATGCTTGGAATATATGAGTAATTTAGCTCTAAAGAAAGAAAATGCTGAGACAAGTGGAAGGAGGAAATTAGCATTCTCAGATTATTTAAATAGAGAAGAACATAAATAAAATAAATAAAATTTAGAACAATGAACATATACCATATGAGGGGAGGGGTTAAAGCACAATAAAGAGGGTTTGGAAGGAAGCAACTGGGGAGGCTTCAGCAGGGTTCTCCAAAACTCCAAAGCTGCTTTTGAGGGAACAGAAGGGATTACAAGGGATAGAAGTTACTCATCAACAAATGTGCTTGCAGAAACTTAGGCAAGCAATTCTACTGTTTAGAACAATGAACATATACCATATGAGGGGAGGGGTTAAAGCACAATAAAGAGGGTTTGGAAGGAAGCAACTGGGGAGGCTTCAGCAGGGTTCTCCAAAACTCCAAAGCTGCTTTTGAGGGAACAGAAGGGATTACAAGGGATAGAAGTTACTCATCAACAAATGTGCTTGCAGAAACTTAGGCAAGCAATTCTACTGTTGAGACAAGCATGGCCTTTGTAGCTGTACAGGAGTCGTCTGTCTCTGCTCTTCTTCAAGACTAGGACAGACTCTTTCCCAGAGTATAGGCAACTATGAGTACATTGTAACAATGCCATGCACTGTACAACCAAACCAACATGCTCCAGGTGAGATAGGTCAGTTTTACGATGATGTGACTGGGAACAATGTATAAACGTTCTGAATACAGTAGTAGATGTTAGTTCAGTGCATTTATGGAATACAGTAGTAGATGTTAGTTCAGTGCATGTTTTTTTTTCCTACTGACATTGCTTTCTTGCTTACACAGGTTTGAAGTTGAACTAGAAAACCTAAAAGAAGAATATGTTAAAACTGTGGAAGAAACAAAGAAAGAAAAGGTTTAATTTACAACCACCTCTTTAATACTATGTTGCTTTGGCCAATAGCGTTCTCAGTAAATAAAAGAAATATGTTTCACTCTCTTCAGACGCTCTTAGCTACTCAACTAGAAATGGAGAAAATGAAAGTTGAGCAAGAAAAGAAGAAAGCCCTTTTTGTACAAGAAACTGTGAGAGAGAAGGTACTTGACTGTGTTAAGTTCACAGGAGGTGGCAGGCCTTTCCAGCATCTTAGCTTGTTAGTTTGTTTGTTTGTATGTATGTATGTATGTATGTGTATGTATGTATGTGTGTATGTATGTACGTACGTACGTACGTACGTACAGTGGTGCCTCGCTTAATGACTGCCTCACTTAACAAGGAGATGGCTGTATGATTAGGTTTTTTCGATCGCAAAACGATAGTTTAAATGGGTTTTTTCTTTTAATTATGATCGGTTCTCTGCTTCGGGAACCGATTTTCGATTTATGACGATCAGCAAACAACTGATTGTCGGGTTTCAAAATGGCCACCGGCTGAAGAAAATGGCCCCCTGCTGTTTTCTAGGACGGATTCCTCGCTTTACAGGCACTGAAAATGGCCGCC